GCACAACTGCCCCACCCTGTGCCCTCCTTGGCTCCTCATCTCTAACGCCCAATTCCTCCATTCTACTTCAGCTGCCCTCCTCCCCACCTGGTCACCCCTGGGACTTCATCACTCCTGTCATCACCCTGAACTGTTCCATCTCTGAGAAGCCTAGACATCCTCCTTTCGACGATAACCCCATCGCTACCACTACTGAAACACTTGAACAGCACCCACTATGTGCCAAACACTGTGTAAGCCCTTTATATTACTAACTCATTTAGGCCATGTGACAATCCTAGAGCTAGATGCTATTGCCATCTCTATTTTCAGGCAGGGACACAGAGGCTCAGAGAGGTTGAATCACTTGCCCAGGGTCACAGACATGGTGATAATATGTAGCAGAGCTGGGATTCAAACCTAGGCTGTGTGTCTTCTAAATCTGTGCTCTCCACCGCGACTCCGCAGCGCCTCTGGCTGTGACTGTTCTCTGATCTGATGCCATCCTGGAACTGCGGGCCTCATGCTTCTGCTTCTTTACGCCTCCATCCGAGAACCCGCACTGCCTTACTCCAGCTACTCTCTTGCAGTTTACCTTGTCTGGCAACTTGTTCCTTTGTCCTTCTGCCAAAGCTGCCCAGGAAGGTCTCAAGCCTGCCTCAGTCCAGGCTTCTGCCTCCTCCAAGTTTGGGCCCAAACTGCTAAGCCTTGTTAGGAGAAAAGAAAACCAGCAGCTGGACAGCACCAGCCCTCGGTGCCTCCACGTCTCCAGCCCTGGGCCCTCAGGGCTCCCAGGAAAGCTCCTCCTTCCTAGTCAGTGCTCCACGACACCCCCCTCACCATGCCACGCCCCTCACCATGCTGGCACCTCCCCCTGGATGCACTCCAGCCTCGCCCTCTTACAATAAAACAAAACCCTCCTTCAACCCCCCCCCATCTACCTCCATTCAACACTCTCGCCCCTTCTTGAAAGTGCTGTCTACACTCCCTACTTTAGCTCTTTCCCAAGAGTCAATCCACTCCAATCTGGTTTCTGCCCTAACACACTCCGACTCTGCTCTCTCTAAGGCCCCAGTCGCCTCCTTGTCGCTGAGTTCAGTGGGCACTGTTCAGTCCTTGGCCAGCTTGACCTCTCCACAGCTTGGGCCCGCTGAACCCTCGCTCCTGGAAACATTCTCTTCTCTCTTGGAAAGAGGCTTTTTAAACTTCGTCTTTTCCCACAAAGCCCAGACTCCCAGCCAGAAATCAGGGCTTCATCCTTGCTCCTCCTCCTCCCTCAGGCTTTCCTGCACACATTTCCAATCCCATCCGTCACCAATCCCTGCAGACTCTTCCCTCCAGGTGTCTCTAGAATCCATCCTTTCCTCTCTAGCCTCACGGCTACTCGCCACCCCCCACCCCCCAGGTTAAAATCCCTCTTGGGCTGTCCCAGCCCTGGCTCCCTCAGGTGGCCCTCTTGATTTTGCTGGAGTGGAGCTGAACTCACCAGGCATGGTCCGGTGAACACTTTCCCTTCACCTGGCTAACTCCAGCTCATCCATCAGACTGCCACTGGGACAGGCACTTCCTTCAGGAAGCCTTCCTTAATTCCCCAGAGCAGCACGATGATTGGTGACTCCTGTGTCCAGGTCTGCATCCCCCAATGGTCTTCCTTGAGGACCAGGATTATATCCACCTTATTTGCTGCCACATCTCCTGGAGTGCCTGAGTCTCCCCAGGTGCCCAGGGAATAGTGGTGAAACAGATGGTGAAGGGAGGAATTGTCACAGGGGCCACTGATGTGTCTCTTGCCTTCCTGGTTTCATCTGTCTCTTGGTTTTGAAGTCGCTCGGGGCCCACTTCTCTGACTCCCGCCTCACTTTGGGCCTTGGGAGGGTACGGCGGGCAGCTGGGTGGGGACTGGGGGTGGATTACAGGGCAGATTCTTACTGAGTTAAAGAGGGAAAAGGGATCAGGGTAGAGGGGACCCAAGGCAGCCACTCCCTGCTGTGTATCTCCCCTTCTCTTGTTTCCCTCTCTGTCCTTCTCATCTCTTTTCAGTGAACCCTGTCTCAAGGCTACAGGTCCCTGACCTCTTGTGTCGGCACCCTGGGGTTTAGGGCCCATGGACTGTCACCTCCATTCTTTAAAGCATCCCCTCCCCGCCCGCCCTCTCATCCCCCTGCCCTCTCTCCAGCCTCCGCTACCCGCGTACCTCTCACCTGCCTGAGCCGCTCGCTGGACACTTCTCTGCGGGTCCTGCGCGGGTGCCCCCTGGGCCCCCAGGGCCGGCAGGCGGGAAGGATCCCGAGAGAGCGGGGAGCCGACTCGGCCGGCCGGGCCGCCGGCGCAGGGGGTGGGCCTACGGGATGGGCCCCCTCACTCACCGCCTGGCGGCTTGCGATCCTGGGGTGCGGTGGGCGGGCCCAGGAGGCGCGCAAGTGGAGAGCCCGCGGCACTGTGGCTCGGCCGCCCCAGGAGCAGCACCCCCTGCGGGTCCCCGCCCCTGGCGGCGGCGGGGGGGAGGGGCGGAGCGCGGGCAGCGGGCGGTGAGCGGCGGCTGGGCCCCGTCTCGGGCCGGGTTGCGGTCGCTGGCCTCCCCTCTGACCCCGAGGAGCGGCGCTCCCACGGAGTGGCCTCCCTCCTCCCGCTCCGCGCCGCCCTTCTCTCCTTCCCTCCTCCAGGTTTCGCGGTTTTCAAGCACCTGACAGTGAACTCCCCGCCCGCCCACACTGTCTCCAGGAGGACTTTTCTGGGGCGGATGCGCGGCCACTCAGACTAGCGCCAGGGGCGTAGGGCGCACCGGCTCTGTCTCCAGTCTCACGCAGATTCCCCACCCTCTCTGGAAGGGGGGCCGAGCTGTGGGGGCAGGGAGAGTTTTTCCAGGGAAGGGGCTCATTTTCAGCACCTCTTCCCCAGACACCCTCTAACAACCCTGCGCCCTGGAGAGAGGTATGGCCATGAGCCCCTTCTACAGATGATTCTAGGTCCTGGGGAGATTTGTAAGGGCCTGAGGGTGAGGGATGGGAAGGGAGTGCTGGGCTCCAGGCCCCCCTCCAGGCTGGGATGTCTTGTAGGGAGGACTGGCTGACTTTCCAGGACCTAAAGGAGTTCACCTGGAAGAGCATCTCTTCCAACCTGCCTCTTCCTTCATTCGCTCATCCATTTATGGACTCGCCCTCGTGTGCACCTCCTGTCGGGCAACCTGCATCCTGACAGTGCCCTCTGAGGGACCCCCCTTCTCCATCTGCAGGTGAGGAAGCTGAGGCTCCAAACCCACAGCCTCTTGCCCAGCCCCTGGGGAGTAGAACCAGACTATGAGTCCTATCCCTAGACGTCAGCTCCAGCCTGGTCAGTCCTCCAGGTTGGCCAGCAGGGATGGGACTTCCAGGGGGCTGCCTGGACCAAGCACTCCCTGCCTTGGGTGTGTTCTTAGCACCCAGCCTGGGCTGGCCGGGCACAGCCACAGTCAAGGTCAGAACAGGGCTATTGGACAGAACTGATTTCATTTGTGGAACAGACTGCTGGAGGAACTGAGTCCAGTGATCTGTCCCTGTCCACACCCCCTCCCATGCTGAAACATTGGAGGGGTCTGGAGCTCCTCGGAGGTGAGATGTCACTTCTCCCTAACACTCCCAGGCAAGACGCTGAGGAAGCTTAGCACTCCACTCCTGCCGGCTTGGCCCAACCTTGCCTTCTTCCAAAGCATAGATGGGGAGAAGGTAGGTGGCTCCACATGGACCACTCCTGTGACCAGGTTGGGGTGGGGGGTCAGGGGTGGAGATATACTTAGGCAGGAAGTATCTGGACTGGGGGAAGGAGGTCTCAGGAAGCCCATGGCAGGGGGAAAGAGAGGAATCGGAGGCTCAGGCCTCCAGGGCTCCCAGTTTCAAGGGTTCTTTGAACCCCCACTGAGTTCTTCCCCAATGTACATAGCTCTTGCCTTTTTATGTGTCCATTCCTTAATTTATTCCACTCTGTTCTGCAATACCACTCTGTGCCTGGCCCTGCCAGGCATCAGGGATACTGTAGCCCTGCCTTGGGGAGATCATGGCTGAGAAGGGTTAATGGTGGGCATGGAGGGGGGACCACTCGCCCCACAGCTCAGGCTCCACTTTCGCCACTCCCACTCCCTCCGCCCTTGGGCATCTCTTTGGGGCGCTTCAGGTGAGGACTCAAGATGGACAGGAGGAAGGGTTTCCTTATTGATCAAAGAGGGGTCACCAGGCCCAAGTTATTGCTGATGATAATGATGGTAAGGGAAAGCAGAAGGGGCAGGGAGCAGGCAGGAGGGAGGTGGAGAGGTGGGCAACGCCAGGAGAGGGGAAGTTGACTTCCCTCAGGCTGGAGGACCCAAAGGCACCACAACTGGCCAGCATTTGTGAAATTGAGCCCCTTCGTGGAAGTCTGTCCCACTGTGGTCAGAGAGTTGGTCCCTGTGGCCTGTGCAGAGGACAGCAGAGGGCAGAGCCTGGATGGGGAGCTAGAGGAGAGCTGGATGCAAGGCCTGGCTCCACAACCTCCCTCCGTGGGACTCGATGAGGCCTTTTCTGCAGGGCCTCAGCATCCCCATCTGTATGATGAGATGGTCTCTCCCACTTTTGGTTGGGTTTTCCAACATCCACTGGGTACCTCCCATGTGCCTGGCCCTCTGCCCCCAGCTCCTGAGAGGAAGAAATAGATGGGCCATTCAGAGCGATGTGGGCTATGATGGAGGGAAGCCCTGTGCGAGAACAGTGAAGTCAAGGGAGGCTTCCGCAAGGAGGTGTCATCTGTACTGATCCTTGAAGAATAAAGCTCTCCCTCGCTTGTCTTCTGCTCACTAAACCAGGACAGAGGCCACGTGGAACATACATTTCCAGAGAAGTCAAATAGCTCTGCTCCGCCTTGAGGGCGCAGGTGTATGAGGAGTGGTGTGAGGAGGAGCAATGTTCTAGGCACAGCCGCACACACCTGGGCCAGGTCTTCCTTACCCTAATCCCTGTGCCTACATGGGGGCTTGAAGTGGCTCTCCAGAGAAAGTTGAGGGAATTGCTTTTCCATTAAATTTAAAACATTAAGATTTATTGAGCGCCTACTGTGCCCTGACAGTGACTGGGAAAGTAACATACAGTAGGTTTAATAGGATTAATAATTGTTTTGTGACAAAGAAGACTGCAACCTTCCAGGAGGGCGTCGGGAGAGGCAGACACAGGTTGATGGGAGAGGCCGAGGAGGGCATTATGGTTGAGGGGATTCTTGGAACTGGCCCTTTAAATAAAGGTGGGGGTTTTGATAGGCAGAGAGGAGGAGGCTGGGGAGGGGCCCCCAGGGGTACACAAGGCAAAGCTTGGAGGCTGGAATGTGTTTAGATTGCTCAGGAGCACTGAGAGGGTGAGGGAGAAGGGGGGGGCTGGAGGTCTTGTCTGGAGCCAGATCACGAAAAGCCTTGAATGGTGGAGTCAAGCACCAAGAGTCTCAGCTCAGGAGCCACCTCCTCCTGGAAGCCTCCAGGCCCGTGCCTCACAGGCTTCTGTCATGGCAGCGACCGTTTTGTTTGTCTAGGATACGCCTCCGTCTGGTTCACTGCTTCTCAGGGCCTGTCTCTGAGGAGTTGCCTGGAGTTTTCAACATTCTGAAAAAGTTCTGGTCCAGCCCCTCTGTCCAGCCGGTGAGCTCTAGACACCCAGGGCCAGGCCTTAGGGGCTGATGGGCTCAGCAAGGACCCCATCTGTAGTTTCTGTGGGCCTGTGGTTGACTTGTGTGGCTAGGCTGGAGTAAGGCACTGGGGTATCCTTGGGCCCCAAACTCCAGAGAAATCAGTCAGTAGATCAAAAAGGGAAGGAAGGTGAGCTGCATTCCAGAGAGAAGGTCCAGGTCAAGAGCCTGAAACAAGGGCCCCCCCAGTTGGTGGGGGGGGGCGGCTCCCATGACTCCTTGCTTCAGGACCCCCTACTCTGCTGCTTGGAATCCACTTCCAATAGCCTTGGCCCAGGAATGCAGGTCTGGTGTCTCCAGGGCCTGGGTCACCTCTGGTTTGGACCCAGGAGGGTTCTGCTATCAGGGTAGCGGGCAGGAAGGGAGGTCAGGGCCAGGGTAGCCCCTCAGGCCCTGCCTCAGCCCTCCCCAGCCGCCCGGGCCCCTGGCTTCAGCTTCTCCAGGGTCCTGCTCACGGTCGACAGGCTGCTGCGGGCTCCTGGAGGAGAGACCAGGACAGGGCTGCCTGAGTAGACAGACCCTGGGTCAGAGCAACCCAGAGGGACCCAGGGGCAGAGCGGGATGGAATGGGGAGAGAGGGGAGGCCCAGGGGGCAGTTTCAGCAGAGTTTCAAGAGGCACAGATGATCAGAATGGCCCGTCAAGAGGACAGCAGCATGGTGTGGGGGTGAGAGGCAGGACTCAGGGGCTGACTGCCTGACGTCAGTTCTGGCCCCACCACTTCCTTGCTGTGTCACTTAATCTCCCTGTGCCTCAGTTGCCCCATATATAAAGTGGACTAATTATAGCACCTCCCTTGTATGGTGGTTCTGAGAATGGAACAAGTTAATATATGTCAGGTGCTTGGAACAGCATCTGGAAGGGGACCTTTTGCTGAGTATCAGGCATCCTGGTGGCAGACACTGTGGGCTGGGCCATCTTCGAGGAATGCCTGCCATGGAATTTTCCAGTGTGTGGGGATGGGGGAGGAAGAAGATGCCCAGTTTCAGGTACAAGCTCTGAGAGCTGGATTCCACAATGGGAGAGGAGAGAGAGAAAATAATCTGGGGCATGGGACCCAGGGGAGTGGCAGGGGCAGTGTGGTATCCTCTGTCCCCGTGTCCATGCTGGGCACTGCAGAGGAGCCTTGAGGACAGACAGGAGCTCAGCTTGGCTGGGAGCAAGAAGGGTTTTGACTGAGCTCGTGGAAGAACTCCCAGCTCTGCTGGCTCCCTGTGACTGGGGAGGCCCCGACTGCATGTCTCTCGAGGCTTCTCCTGGGTCCCACAGAGCTGCTCACCCAGAGAGGGAAGATGGATTCTGGAGTTTCTGGAACTTACCCTCTTTATTGTCATTGGCGCTGGATCTTCCCTCCCCGTGTTCAGGCGCTGGGTGGGGGTGGATTCTCAGGCTCCCTGTAGGATGAGACCACCCCAACCCCCTGGTTGCTACGCCATTCTCAAATCGAGTCCAGTTTGGGAAGAGAAGTCCTTCCTGCTGCCCAGTCTCCACCCCTGTTGTGTCTCTGTTCCACTGCGTTCCCTTAGGTCGCCCATATGATCTGGGCTGGTTTGGGGGGATGGTAGTGGGGGAGGAAGAAATGGGCCCTTGAAGGAGAAGATGGCAGATTTTTAAGGAGTTGGGGATCCTGGGGAGAGCTAGGATCCTGAGTTCAAAGCCCCACAGGATTGATGGAGATGGGAGCACGTATGTGGGGAGCTGAGATGAGATGGGGAGCTATACAAGGGTCCTACGGTCTTTCTGGGGCTTGGGGATGAAGTGGGGTGATCTGGAGATGCTGGAGGCTTTGGGGGAGGCAGAGAATCTCTCAGGCGAGTTGGGAGTTCTAGGTGCTCTGAGCTGGTTCAGGCACTTTTGCCGCAGGCTGGATTCTGCTGTGCCGTAGTCATGGCAATGCCTGCATATCACACACACACATACACATACACACACACACACACACACACAGAGCAACTCCAACACACACAACCAGGAGCAGTCACACAGGTGGGCTCGGCTCCGCCACACAGTGGGCCACACACAGACTTACACGCGAAGGGTCTTACATGGTCCTGGGCAGAGGGGACTGCTGGGGGCAGGGGCGAGGACTCACCTATCGTAGGCAGGATGTGATCCAGGTTGAACCGAGCCTTCAGGAAGGGATAGGCCAAGATGAGGATCCCTAAGAAGAGAGACACAGAGGGGTCCTGTGATGGGGAGGGGGCCTGGTTAGTTTGAGCTGCATGGAGCTGTGGATGGGCTGTAAGCTGGGTAGGTACTTTATGAAGGTGGTATGGGCGTGCATGGGAGGAGGATGAGTGGGCAGAATTTGGACTATGGGTGTGTAAATGTGAGCCTGTGAGTATGTGCATGGGGTGGCTCCCCAACACTCACCCCCAGGAGGGGGCGGGGAGCACTGCCTATCTGGGGAAGGGGCTCCACGCTGTGAAGGCCCAGGCTCCTGTCCACCCTCCCCAGGTGATGAGCAGGTTGGCCTTCCCTCTCCACCGGCTGGAAATGGGCCCAGCTGATACCCCACCACCACCTCTCCCCTGCCCCACCCTCCCCTATGGCCTCCAGGGCAGGACTGGGTGGCTCCTCAGCATACTGCTTTCTACCCAGACCTGGGGAGGGACTTTCAGAAGAGCAGGTCCTGCCCTGCCCACTCCCACTTCATCCCCAGACCAAGTGTCTGTGGCCCTTGGCTGGAGCTCACAGGCACTGAGGCCCAGAGCCCACCAGCCATGTGCTTCTGGTTCTGCTTTGGCCCAGGGTGGTGGAGTGCGGGGAGGGATGGTACTCAGCATCACTGTTGGGATGTCAGTGGGACTGGCCCAGAAAGACAGATGGGCAGATGCCTGAACAGACAGATCTGCTGCTGAGACATACACGAAAAGAAAAGGAAACCCTTCGTCTGAGCTGTCTTGGCTCAAGGAGAGTCCCACTGGGCATGCTGTTCTCTTTTACATGCCCTCCATCAACCCACCCCCAACAGGCTTGTGAATCCCACCACAAACCCAAGAGGCTGGAGCTTGGGACTGAAGAGCCAGAGGGGGAGCAGCCAGAGAGGAGTGTGCCAGCCAGCTCCCTCCTCTGTGTCTCCTCACCCCTGCAGTCCACAGGGGGAAACACCCCAACCTTCCTCTCCCTCCCTGTATTCCCAGGGCTGCCTTGCTCACACCTCTAGCTTCCCTCCTCCCCAACCAATTCCTGTCGACCCAGTCATTCCTTCCATTTCTCCTTCACCTGGCCATGCCCCTGCCCACTTTCCAAGCCCAGCACCTGCTCACCCAGACCAGAGGCGCCAATAAAGATACCACCCACAGCCGCTGCAGCTTTGGACACGGAGACGCCGATGATGATGCTGCCGGCCACCAGGCCGAGGGCCACACAGGCCAGCTGCAGGCAGCGGAAGTCTCTGCTGCTGATGGGGATGTCCATGCAGGCCTACGCAGGGCACCGTCTCCAGCCAGGGGGGCCTGTCCCTAGAAAAGCCCTGGAGGTCTCCGTCTTCTTGGATGTCCCCTTGTTGGAGCTCCACCTTCAGGGAAGTAAGATTCTGGGCTGGTAACCCTTAGATTTATCTGCAACCCTATCCCACAGCTTCCTAGGGGCCCCTGCCCCACCTTGACCTAGGATCTCTGCCAGGTCACCCCAGCTTACTCCTCCTTCCCGAAAGGCCCCTGAAGCTGGAGACCACTCTCAGGACTCCTGCCTGGCCACATCCTGCATTGGCTGCCAGAGCTCTGGAGAGCTGGGCCTGCCCCACGGGGTCCTCCCCTGCCAGCCTCGTCTCAGCAAACTCAGCCTGAGCTCCCCTGCCCAGGGCATCCTGTCCCCGCTCCCTGGAGCCTGCTCAGCTGCCACTGAGACTCAGCCTATTAAAGTTTAAAGCACTGGGGCGATTGGTCCAGGCGACACGGTTCCTTGGAGATGTAGGCAGCGGGGAGGTGCTGAGTTATTCATGAGGTTGCAATGTGAGCTGCTGCCTGGGTCCCAGAGGCCCACTGGGGCACTCAGCCTAGGTTCCACTGTTGGTCCCTGAGGGGGCAGGATGAGCCGGGGGCTTCACATGGGGTTAAGCAGCCAGGGATGTGAGGAGACTACTTGGCCACATGCTCAGGCCCACTCTGCTGTCCCTTTGGCTTGGAGGTGCACCTAGGGCCTCTGCTTGGGGACTCGGAGACAAGGGCATGGAATAGGACCTGGACAAGGCTCAAGAGACAGGAAAAGTGACTGGGACAGGAGGAGGAGAGGGAGAGTCCATGCTGTACCCCTGCTCTTCCCCTCACCATCCCATCAACCTCTGGGCTTCCAGGCAGGGCTGAGGGGTCCTAGTTTGAGGCTGATATTGGGGGACCCCCTTCTCCTCAGGTAGGTTTGGTACCCACCTCCCTTTTAGTTGCCAGTGGGCTGAGATTCCAGCCACCCTGGAATCCTTAGCGGGGGGCTGACAGGGAAGAGGGTGGTGGGGGCATGGGGCAGGAAGAAACACGTACAGGCTAGGGTTGGGAAGAGGAAATCAGCAGGGCCTGGGTGGGCAGCGGGGGTCAGGAGACTGGGACATGGCTGGCACCTCCCGACCTCTGGATTGAACTCCTTTTCCCAACCTGTTTGACCTACTTGTGGGATCCATCAACTCAAGACCTGGCAGTGGTAACCCAGCCCGGCCCGGCGCTGTCCTGCCCCCAGTTCTAGCCCTCATTACTAATTGCATCCTCTGGTCCTTTATGGATCAGGGCCTCTCTGACCCCAGAATATGGCCCTGCACCTAGGTCCCTGGGCAGTTTTCAGGCTCCCATCACTGGCCCCGCTGGCCTCTCTTTGGATCCCCCCACCTCTCACCACCACATCAGCAGTCTGACATAGCCAGATCCAAGGCCTTCTGCCTCCACCTGGCTCCACAGCTGCCCCCTGCTCCTATCCCCTTTCTGTCTCCTCTGCTGCCCTTCTGCTGAGTGTCTGCCTGGTGGCCTCTGCCATCTGGAGAATGCCTCCTCATCCTGCAGGACCCTGCTCAGCCAGCTCCGATTCTGTGAAGCCATTTCTGATGGTGCTGAGTGGGTGGGCTGCCTACCGCTGCTGCCATGTCACTGTGCCAAAGTGCCCACCATACGTCCTTGCTCTCTGTCTCCCCTACAGACTGTGAGCCCCTTTAGGGCAGGTTCTTGAAGTGAACTCCACAGAATGCCATGGCTAGAGGGACCTGGGCCAGGCTTCTGACACAGGACAGAGTTCAGGGAGGTCTTGGACGTGCACAACCACCTTGGGTCAGCAAAGAGGAAGGCTGCGGGCGCCATGGACCTCTGTCTCTAACGGGCTTTCCTTGGGTGGGGGTGGGGGCCTAGGAAGGCCAGGGTCACCTGACTGAGCTTCAAGCGGAGGGAAGGCACTGCCAGGAAGCTGGAGATGGGCCTGGGCGGGGACATGTGTGAACTCAAAGGTATAGAGAGACAAGTGACTACAGAGCACGGAAGAGCCCCCAGCCATGTTCCTGGCCCCCGGTAAGAGAAAGCCCCTGGAGGCAAGCGTTCCCCAGCCACAGCCACTGCTGCCAGCATACCCTGTGCCTCTCGCCTGGATGAGGTCTGATTATTCCTCTAATTAGGCATCAAATGACAGCCTATGTCTCTGTCACACGTAATTGATCCCCCACTGACTAGTTTTAGAAGGAGCCGTCAAAATGATTGTCCATGGAAACATGTTCCCAAGATGTCGAGCTTTGGGAATGTGAACACCCTCCACAATGCCTCCCCCCTTAAGTGTTTGCATAACTCTGGATGGGCAGGGCCTGTGCCGCCCTCTCACGGTGGAAGGCTGAGGGTGGCACTCCCATACCATCAGCCAGACAGAGGCTCCCGGGCCACGACTCCCACCTCGCCCTGTGCGACTTGCATCTGCCGCTCCACCTCCCTGAGCCTCACTTTGCTCATCTGGTGAATGGGGATGGGGATGGCAGGGGCTGGAGTCAGGGATGCCTGTGCATTGTGAGTTTCAGATTCCAGAAGAACACTCTGATCTCTAAACTCTGGAGACCAAACTCTAAATTGGAGTTTTTCTTTGACATTGTAAGTCCCTCAGGGTATAAAGTCAGAAGAAAAATTATGGAGGAGACACATTAAGTCATTATGAGTTACAAGATCACAGAACCACAGAACCATCCCAGCTCCTTCCTAGAAGAGACAGGGAAACTGAGACACAGGGAGGTGGCAGGATTGCCCCAGAGTCCCTGCGTAGCTGGGAAGTACTCTAGCATATCTCTGCCCCTGAATTTCCAAATTGTCTTATTTGAGGAGGGAGGAATTGGCCACCCCACCCTCAGAGGGAGACACTGTGTTCAAAAGAATCAGCCAAGGCCTGCATCTCTTCCCTCACGACAGGAGTGTCATTAAAGGCCACTTGAAACTTGTGCGATGCCTGCTCTTCCGCTGACTACAAATGTGGATAGGGAGACTTGCCAATTCTTTCCCCCATGCAGGCTTATCATCTCTGAAGAAGAAAACATGCGCTTGTCCTTGGGTGATGTGTGTACTATAATAGGTAAATGAGATGGAAGCCCCAGCACGAGAGCCCAGCGCCCACCTGGCCCCTACTCTGCAAGCATCAGAGCCCTCCTCGAGGAGGCATAGGTCCTCTGGCCCTGGACTCAGGGTGTGGTGAGGCCATGGGTCACTGCTGAGCTCCCTCACAAAATCTCTCCTCTTCGTCTCCCTGGGAGGTCCGGGCTGGAGGGTACCTATCTCTGCTCTTTCCTTCCCAGAGGTACCAAGTGCAAGGGTGGCGTGGGGGCGGGGGGAACAGTGGGCGAAAGGCCTCAGCTTGGTTTAGTTCTGTTTATTTTCCTTGAGGGGTGAGGACCCTGGAAAAGAGCATGATTAATTCACTGATCCCCTGAGGGACGGGCAGCTTTCCCGGACTGTTTGGAAGCTGAAGTCGGGGAAGCAGCTTCCAAGGCAACAGCTACCATGGCAACAAGAGTGCCAGCCGGGGGGACCTTGCTCCTCGCTTCCCTCCAGACCTAAGCAGCTGGAGCAGTTGGCACAAGACCAGGACCCTGCTGTTCACAGAGCTGCGTCTGGGGAGGGCAGTCAGCCAGGAGGGAGCAGGGGCCCCTAGGGCTCAGACAGGTGGACATCGGAGGGAGAAAGACTTGAGCCCTGTGTCCGGGCCCCCAGATGGGGCTCAGACAGGGGTCCTCTGGGTCTACCTGAACCAGACGAGCTGGTGCTGAGGCCTGTGAAGTGGATTTGAGGCAAGAGGCCTGAGGTCCGGGACACTCTGGCCGCCTGGAACCAGTTCTCTCCTAAGGCCCAGGCCAGGCATGAGCCCCAGAGCTGGGGAACTGGCTGCCACAGTTCCAGGCCCCAGAGCCTCCCTCAGTGTGTCTGCCATATCTGCCTCTGCCCAGCAGAGCCAGGCACACAGCCTGGTCCTCAGAAAGAGCAAGGGACTTCCCAACATCCCTTGGGAGGTCACCTAGTGCACAGTGGCAGAAGAAGGACTAGAACCCAGGGCCCCTGGCCCCCAACCTCAGACTCTTCCCCTGGTACCTCGGCTGCCCCTCAGGGACAAGGACCCCAGGCCAGAGGGGCAGAACAGCCCATCAGCAGGAGGATCTCACAGAGGGCCAGAGGCCAGGCCCGTCCGGAAAGGCCAGATCTGTCTCTATCCACACCAGCCCAGGAAAGGGGGAAAGCTCATCTCCATCACTGGGACCCAATGAGTAATTCTGCCCTAGGAGACAACAATCAAAATGATTATAATTATCAGAGCTAACATTTATGGAGCACTGTGTGTGCCTGGAACTGCTCTAAACACTACATTTATAAATTTGTAACTTTCACAACGCAACAGGAGGTAAGCCATAGCAGCCCTAAGTTTTGGTTGAAGAAACAGACCCTGGGAGGTGAAGTAACTTGCAAAGGCCCAAAGCTGGGAAGCGGCAGGGCTGGCATCTGAACCCGGGCAGCACAGCTCTGGGTCCCAAGTCTCTCTGGGAAGAATTCCAGTTCCACCTTCCTAGCTAAACAGCCCCAGGCAAGCTATTTTTTCCTTTCTCTGCTTGGGTTTTCATGTTAAGTGGGGTAAAATAATAGTACCTTACGTCATATGACAACTATGAGAATTAAATGAGGTAAGGCCTGTAAACTTCTCAGAAAGTATGTGTTAGTAAGTGCACAACAACGCCAGCAAAACCAAAGTAGGCACAGTAGCATTTGAGCAGAGCCGAGGAGGATGAGAGGGGCCCAGCAGGGGGACTAGGGTGGGGAGGCGGGGTGGTAGAGGGCATAGCCTAAGCACAGGCACAGAGGCATGAGAGTCTGGCTGGAGCCACATGCAGGACGGGGTGGGGTGGGGTGGGGGTGGGGAGTACTTGGTCCAGGAAGCCCCTGGAAGTCCCATCCCTGCTGGGCCAAGCTGGAGGACTGACCAGGCTGAGGCTGGAGTCAGAAACAAAACTCATACCCTGGTTTTGAGTCCCCAGGGCCTGGAAGGTTTCGGGCCAAAAGGCTCCGACTCTGCAGGCCTGTTTTCCCAGCCCATCCCTCTCCAGGTAGATGAAGAAGGGGTGTGAGGGTGGTAAGGGTTACTGCAAAGGGAAGACTGTCAACAAGTATGTCATCATCAACATGGAGGCACTCACGGTGTGGGACAGCTGGTAGCCTGGCCATTACCGGCCTCCAGATGGAAGAGCCTCTGATCCCATCTCCCCTCCGTTCTCCCTGGGAGAAGAGCCACCAGCAGCACTGTCTACTGCCCTGATGCTCAGACCTCCCTCTTGCCACCTCTTGGGAACTTATAAATGCCCTCCTCCTGCCTGCCAGTCCTCTCCATTTGGGTTCTGAGGATTACACGGGACAAGGCACGTGAAGTTCCCTGCATGATGCACATGAAGGCTGTCGAGACGAGGCACCGTTATTCTCTGTTGCCAACTCTGCCAGGACAAGCCCAGTACTGGGCACATAACGGATTCCTCAAGAAAGGCTAAGTACTGCTTGAGACACAGGGAGCTTTGTTCCCACCGGGTGGGTGGGCTGGCCTGGGTACAGGGTACACCCATGAAAGCACCGTTTGAAGCTGGCTTGTGTGATGGTCAATGACACCCCCTCTTCCACTTGATGGGGAGATCCTAAAAGGCAGAGGTTGTTTCTTACTCATCTCTGGGTCCTGGCACAGAAAAGGGGATTGACAAATGGTTGACGAATTTCATTTCCTCACCTAAAAAAGAAAAGCAGTGATGTTTCCTTCACCTTATTTTATGGATCCAATGAGCTTGCTATATTTGAAGGTCCTGACAAGGGGTACCTTCTCCCCTCAATCGGGGATGGACTCAGCCCCTCTCCAGAAGGCTTTTCTCCTCCTCAGGTTTGCAGGTGAAGAAAGGACCACCAGGAAGACCATAGCTAGAATTTAAAACAGTTTTATTAAAACAAGCACAATGTATAATAGCATCGTGTTGTAGAAACGTCTGTCATGTGCAAATCGATTTTCTTTAGGTAACTGGGCAGCTCAGCATAGCTGACACCGGATGTTCCTCCGTGCTTTCTGCAGCAGGCACCGCATGGCTCAGACCAGGGTGGCCAGGCCGCCTCCGATCTGGCTCCACATCAGAGCTCCTTTTAACTGCCCCAGAGCTGAGCTGCCCTCACGCCAGGCAGGAGGGACCCAGCAACAGAAGTGGGCTCTAAGTAGCTCATCATCCTAACAGCTTAAAACCAGTTAGAATAAAAGGAAACAGCTGATTAAAACCTTTCAAATGCATGGCCATTCAGGAAAGAGCAAGCCATTACAGCTCTGCAAAGTCCACGGGCTTGCAGCAGGAGTTTCAAGTCCCATCTTTGCTGGAAGAGCATGGTTAAAAAAACAAACACTTTTTAAACAAAATAATACTGACTTTAGCAGCAATCTCAAACAAGGAAGAAGATGATAAATGAGGGACACACTTCGGTCATGGCAAAGAAAGATTATGCGCTTCTCTGTGCTATAGACTGGAAGACTGATCAGGCTTCCTGAATGCAGAAGGCTCCCTGCCCTTCCCTGAATTGAGGGGATGGCTTTGCTCAGCCGAGGGGGAGGACGTCCGGAGGACAGAGGAAGGTGGAAGGACTGCCAGAGAGGGGTGACAGTGCAGAAGAGGGAAGAGCCTCTGTCAACTGACACTTCTCAAGGCTGGCTCCCTGATGGCTGCAGCTCCAGCGCCACTGCTGCCTGCCCGTGAGAGCAGGCTGGATCCTAGATCTGCAGGCGGGTGAGCAGGTGGGCTGGAGCCCCGCAAAGAGATGTCCCTGCCGCAGGCGATTATGCAAAGTGACGAGTGATTGCTTTCCTTTTCAAAGACAACCCCTTCGGAAAAAGCTTTTTCCTTGAGAACTCTGGCTAATGGGGGGTTGGGTGGGAACCCAGGGCCTTCATGGATGAAATGCCCTGGATGGAGCCACAGAGCAGGTCCCTCTGCCTGCTCTGCAGATTTCGGCCTCACAGGTTTCCAGGGGGGCAACTCCTGGACAGGTCTGGAGCCTGGAAGGTGTGACTGGAGTGGGTCAGAGTGCTGAGGGTGTTGGGCATGGGCCTGCATCTCCACTGCGGCCTGCCTGGGCCAGGGCCCTCCGGCGGGCCAGGCGTGACTTGGAGGGAGGAGAGAGCCTCACAGAGCAGAGGCCCTCGGCCAGCGCCTCTGACTCCTTTGCCAGTTCATTTTCCTCGTGCTGAGACAGCTGGCGGTTAAGGGCGATGGCTTCAGCTGCGAAGAGCGTCAGGTCCATTGTGCTGCTATTTCTGCAGGGATAGGGGAAAGAACGGAAGAGAGGGAGGCAGGACTCAGTGGGGTCAGCCAGGCCAGCTCCTCGACACCCCCACCAGTTGCTGTGGTCCTGTACTTCCACCGAGTTTTTCTGAGCCGGCACAGGTGCTCTCTCCAAAGCAGTTCTTGCACGGGTTTAGAATGTGATTTCACTGAGGCTGGAATGGCTTTGAACCTTAAGTACAGTCCTTGGGCAGAGAGTTGGGACAAAGGCCCCCTTCTGTTCAGAGCATCCTCCTCTGAGCTCTGCACACAGCCCTCCAGAGGAGCTACGGCACAGGGAAATTCACCCAAGTGTATCCCTCTCCCCAGTCAGGGCAGGGGGCTCCAAGAGCGGGGGCCCTGCCTTGATGTCTGTGCCCCTGAACCCAGCTCAGAGCTAGCATGTATCGGGTACTTTGGGTTTGCTGAATGAATCTTCTAAGGTGGATCTGAGGTTTGGAGCCTCAAGATGCAGGTCTAGAGAATCAGGTAGGAACCCAAGCTGGGCAGCAGCATTCTGCCTCCGATGAATCGAGGCTATAAAGGAGTAATACTTCCCTGTGTAACTCTGAGAAACTGGCCATGAGGTTGGTTCCCACAGTGCTTTAGCCCTGGCCCTTTGGGAACAGGGCAGTGCTCATTAGGAACGGGATATAGTATTAAAAGGCAGGAAAGTCAAACAGATTGGGTTCAAGTCCAATTCCCAAGGTTACTGTGTGGCCTTGAGTAAGTTAAAGTGATCTCTCTCTTGCTCAGTTTTCTCATCTATAAAATGGGGTAACAGGAACGCTCTCTTTTAAATTTATCATAAAGATTATGGATACAATATATGTAAAGCCTTTAGCACCAGATCTGGCAGTAGCCCTTACGATTATTCTTTGTCTAGTCGTACATGTGACAGTTGGTCCCACTGCCTTGCAGTGCCCCGGATTCCTGCCACTTTCCCCAACCCACAGCAACAGAAGGAAACTTGGTGTGAATAACCCACAGGAAAGGTCTGTCTTTGGGCTGTGAGTGGTGATTTCCAGTTAGGATTCAAGTGGATATGCAAAACAGGTTTTTCTCCTGCAGACAGCACTAGGAGGGGCCTTCAAGGTGCTGGTGGGCAGGGGAAGCCCTCCAGGCGGAGGAAGGGACAGAGGGAGATGGATGCTGTGGAGGGCAAGAGAGGAAGAGCAGTGGGGAGAAGGCGGGCCAGGGAGCCCCCTCAGGAGGAGGACACTTGAGCCTAGAGGTGGGCTCCCATCCCCACCTCCACCCCAAGAGGGCTGAGAGCTTGAGGGAAAGTCAAAGCCAAGGAAGGAAGGGCACTCGGTGTCATCGGAGCATTTACCTCTGGAGGACTTGCGGCGTGGGGAGTCCCCTTTCTGGAGCTTGCTAGAATGGGAAGGACAGATGTGTGGGTAAGTGCCGCTCCCTCCTTCAAGAGCTGCCCCCACCCACGCCAGCATTGAGTGGGCAGGCTACCACAAGCTCTGGCCCAGCACAGGGACTTGGCCATGCTTGCCTGCAGGGCTAGACCTTCCAAGGAGCGAGCAAGCAAGGTGCAGCCCCCAACCCGCTGCCTCTGCGTGGAGAGCCTTCTCTGCCTGAAAAGGTCCTAATCATCCTCCAGGAGCCAGCTCTAGGGTCACTGCCCCTGTGAGACTTTCCCTCTGCCCTGCCACCTCCCAATCCCCTCCAAGCAGAGGTGGGTCCTTGTTCTTTGGTGCCCCTAGCACTTTTGATAAGCATTTGTTACACTCTCCTGTCATTTATTCCCTTGTCTCCATCTCCCCATTAGAACACAAAGACAGAAACTGGGTCTTACTTATCCCACTAATGCCAGGGTCTGGCACGTGGCAGGTGCTCAGGAAAGAGAGCAACTCTTCTGTGGCTGTGAATTAGCCAGTCAGAGACTCTTGGATTGGGTCCTGCCCTGTACCATGGGGCTGGCAATGCTTGTTTCTTTCCATTGTCAGGGTCACTGAGGCCGGCTAGGGCCTGGCAGACCAAGGATAGACAGTGAATCACAGGAGGTCTGGCAGACCCCTTAGAGGGGCAGAGGTCAGGTACGGTGACTAACTGAGGAGGATGGTTAAAAATGTTTCCTAGTGAAGAAGTGGATCCTTAGTTTGGGGCAAACACCACCATTTGCCTTTCAGGCAAGCTGCACCAAGACGCCCCGGACCACAAGGAGAACCTATGTCCCTCATTGCAGCCACACAGCAAGCAGGGCAGCAAGGCACCACTTCTGGGTGCTCTTGGCTAATGAAGTTTTTGTACGAGGGGATGGTACTAGAGGCCCCTTTCTGGGCTATGTGCCTTTGCCAATTGTGGGATGCATGTGCCGAATCCCCCAGAGGCCTCTGTCCATTCCAGAGAGGCAGGGATCAGCTAGGGGCTTAGTCTGTGGCCAAGGTTAGAGCCAAGTCTATGATCAGTAAGGGGCTCAGACTGGGGTTAGGCTGGGAGTCAGTTCACTCTACATGCACAGGGATTGAAGCTCCATAGGAGGTCCCTCCAGCTGAGGTCAGCCACCCAGGTATGAGAGCCTCCTCATGGCCATGCTGCAGGCCCAAAGAGGAGGAATGTCACCCTTCCCGTGTCACTCACCCCCTGCACCCATGGGTGCTGCAGAACTTGGGCAGCGCTCAGTCTCTGCTTCGCATCTCGAACCAGGAGCTTGGAGATGAGGTCTTTGGCCTCACTGGAGATGTGTGCCCAGTCCTTGTCAGGAAACTCATACTTGCCTTCCTGGATGCTCTCAAACAGCTTGTTCTAGGTAAAGAAGATTCCTCCTGAGGCCACACTGGCCAGGGGATGGGCAGAATGTGCCTGTCATTGATCTGATCACCCTGTGTCCAATCGACCTCAGCTTAAGCTGCAGCTCATGGCTTGCATATGCCACAGAGCAGGGCCCCTTCCCAAACACCCCACTCTCCCCTGACTCCTCCAACCACACAGAAGGGCCCTGGTGGCTGGCATGGCTATTGAGGAACATCAACTAGAGAACAAAACCCACATTCCTCGGCCCTTCACTCAGGGCCTTCCACAAATGGGCTCCCAGCAACCTCTCAGATGTCATCTCTCCCCACCGTCAGCCTTTTACTCCACTATTCTTCCCTCGACACACGCAGCTGCTTCAAACCTCCACGTCTTCGCTTGTGCTGTTCCTCCTCTTGTATTTCTTGCCCCTTTTTCCCTGGGGCAAGACTCATCCTTTATGACTCAGCTCAGGGAAAATCTTCTCTAACCATCCTGCCCTGAACTCCTCGCTGGGCTGAGTGCCTGATTAGCTTAACCCCACCTCGTGGCTGCCCTTGGACAGAAGAGGGAAGGTGCACTATAAACCGCATTCCAGATCAGGAACAATCCCCAAGTCCAAGCCTGCTTGGCATCCCACAGCCACGCTGACCCCCCAGTAGGCCCTATGCAGCGGGTCCTGGGGCTGTGCTCACCTGGCACACACTGCAGACCTCTCCCCGGTCCCAGCCACAGTCGGCCCCACAGTGACCTACAAAGGGTGGGTAGCCACTCAGCATGATGTAGAGGACCACGCCCAGGCTCCAGAGATCACAGCGCTTGTCGTAGAATGTGGCCTCATCCGTGAAGACCTCTACCACCTCGGGGGCCATGTACTCTGCAGAGCCACACTGTGGAAACCAGGGTTGGGGTGGGAAAAGGGCAGAGGAGGGAGAAGTTTAGTCACAGGGAGAGGGGATGGCAAAGACTGGAATGTAATGGGACTTGAGGAAAAGGATGGAGTTGCAGAGCAAGAAGCTGTCAGGAAAGCCAGCTAGAGAGCTCGCCTGATGCCACCAAGGCAGTGAGAGAAGCTGGGCCACCTAAACATTTGTCCTGTCATTCCCCAGGACCCATGTGACCATCCAGGTCACCTTCTTATCTTTTCAGGTCCTTCTCCAGTAGGCAGAGAGCCTTGGTCAAGAAGCTCCAGGGAAAGCCCTGCCTCAGTGCTCTGTAAACAGCCAGTTTATGTACAGGTACTTCAATGTAACAGGAGCACGGCTCAGGGAGGGAGATCTGTGGAGATCTGACTCCATAAAGCGAGGATTTCTTAAAGTGAAGTCCTGCCAAGCTTCCCTGCTAGCTTAGAGCAAGGAAGTGGAAGAATTTAGAATGAAGAGACCATCAAAGCCAGGCGAGGTCTTAGAGCAAAACCAATCTGCCAGCTTCTCCCATTTACAGATGGGAGAACTAAGGACTAGACTGGGGCAGGGATCTGCTCAAGCACGTCAGTGGCAAACACAGGACAACAATCCAGGCCTCCTTCCTCCCATCCTTGCACAGAAAACTGCTGATAAAAACAAAGATTCTTCTCGCTCCTCTCTTCATTATTTCAGGCTCACCAAGAGACAACCTCCCCCTACAACACAGACACACAAACTAATTTGATGGGAAGATGGTAAGTGGAGAAACAACATTTTCTGTGTTATTGGCAATTAGAGTTAATGACTTTGAGAACAAGGTAGATCAGTGTCGTAGAAGCTAATACAGAAACATTTCTAATAATGTTGCTCAGAATAAGACAAGGGCATGTTTAAAAGACAAATGCATGCCTTAAAAGAAGGTTATTAGGAAAATTCACTTATGAAGCATGCAAATCTCAAAAGAATCAAAATAAGTATATTCAGTATGTACAAGAGGTATCTTAGGAAGACGCAGCTCCCAGCAGCACCATCTGGGCATGAAATGTGAAGTGAGAGAAGCAACAGGATAACTTAGCCAGCGATCCTCTGTGCAGAGAGCCCGCATCCTCTCAGTTCCGGCCCGAGGGAGACCACACTCCCTATCCTCTGTCACAAGGTGGATGCGCTATGACCCAGGCAGTGGGAATGGGACTCTCAGAGCTCTCCACATGGTCATATGCAAAAGGGCTGTCCTGGGAGTAGTGTCTGTCTTTACCTGGGTCAAGAGTCAGGGCTCAGCCTGTTCTTATAGAAACAATTTGTCTCATCAATGGTAGAGGACCCACCCCAAACTAAAAGCTCTAATGTCAGTTTCATTAGCAACTAAGCGCTGGGGTGAGGGGTGGGGGAGGTTATCAACACAAAGCAGTGAGGCAAATGATAACTCAGGCAGGAAGTGGTGTCGGTACGCTCGGTTTTCCTTCCTCAGCCCTCTGTTCTGGACTCCAGAGCTTTGGGTCAGGGGCACACCAAACGTACAGGAGCTCAGACTGAGGTGGCCTAGGGTGCCCAGCCAAACATACCGGAGTGGTCAGCTCTGGTGTGGTTATAGGGGTGCAGGAGTTGTTCAATTTCACCCCACTGCCCAAGTCAAAGTCACAGATTTTCACTGGAGACACCTGAAAAGGAAAGCAGAAACCAAAGGTCACAAATATAAGAACCCAAAGGACACAAGGAGCCCAACATGACTCTATGGGTGCACAGCTGCATGGCTGCCACACTGAAGCCCAGCTTTATCTGTCAGCTCATGTTTACTCTCCTTGGGTTAACTAGAAATCACCTGAGGAATTATCCTAAGGTGTCGCCTTCCCCATGCTCTCTCCTTGTTTCCTGACTAAGAGAAAATGTGTGCATTACCTGGTGTCAGACTGTTGTGAACTTAGTATAAAACAAGTAGTAAACCTATGGAACCCTTGCTGACAAACGATGGTGTAGGTTGCACCACAGAGGTTAGAGAAGTTAGTATGCATTCCTGAAAGACTCTTTGCAGCCCATTCAGCGGAGGGCAAAGGAGTTTTGAGTAAAACGCTTGACCACCTCAGGTGGCTGAGTGTGACCAACCTGTCTTTGTTTGCTTGGGACTTTGTCAATTTAAGCACCGAAAATCCTGTGTTCTGGGAAACCCCTCAGGCCTGAGCAAACTGGGATGGTTGGTCACTCTAGGCAGCATCAACATAGCAGCCAAGCCCACCAGAAGTGGATGCTGCACCTGAGACCACAGACAGCACACGTCACCTCTGGAGCAACCAGGAGGGCAGTTTGTGTGCATACATGAGGACGGCCCGTGTGGTGGGAGCAGCACAGAGGGCGAGTCAAAAAGGCTGGCTCCGCGAGTCCCAGCTCAGCCATTTCCCTGCTGGGGAAGCCTGGGCAAGTCTCTCAACTTCTCTTTTCTTTCTTTCCTTCCTCCCTCTCTCTCTCTCTTTCCTCCCTCTTACATTCTTTCTTCTTTTCTTTTTCACTTAGCCTCTCTTTTTTCATTGTGGTAAAATATATATAACATAAAATATACTATTTTAACCATTTTTAAGTGTACAATTCAGTGGCATTACATTCACACTATTGTGCAACCATTAGCAGTATGTTTCCAAAACTGTTCCATCATCCCAAACAGAAACTCTGAACTCAATGAGCAATAACTCCCTATTACCCAACTCATCAGCCCCAGTAACATCAACCTACTTTCCATCTCTATGAATTTGCCTATTCTAGATATTTCATCTAAGTGGCCTCACACAATATTTGTCCTTTTGTGTCTGGCTTATTTCACTTAGCATACCGTTTTTAAGGTCCATCCATGACATAGCATGTATCAGAATTCCATTCTGTTTTATGGCTGAACAATATTCCATTGTATGTATATACCACATTTTGTTTATCCATTTATCTGCTGATGGACACTTGGGTTGTTTCCAGCTTTTGCTGATTGTGAATAATGCTGCAATAAATATTGGTGTTCAAGTTCAAGTCTCTGTCTTCAGTTCTGTTGGGTATATACATAGGTGTGGAACTGCTGAGAGGTATGGTAATTCTGTGTTTAGCTTTTTGAGGAACTGCCACCCCGTTTTCCACAGTGGCTGTGCCATTTTACATTCCGACCAGCAATGTACAAGGGTTCCAATTTCTCCACATCCTCATCAACACTTGTTATTTTCTGTTTAGTTTTTTATAACCATCCCGGAAGGTGTGAAGTGGTATCTCATTGTGGTTTTGATTTGCATTTCCCTAATGACTAAGCATGTTGAGCATCTTTTCATGTGCTTACTGGCCATTTTTATACCTTCTTTGGAGAAATGTCTATTCAAGTCCTTTGCCCATTTTTTAACTAGGTTTCTTTTTGCTGTTGAGTTTTAGAAGTTCTTTATATATTTTGGATATTAAACCCGTATCAGATATATGATTTGCAAATATTTTCTTCCATTCTATGAGTTGTCTTCTCACTTTCTTGATAATGTCTTTTGACATTCAGCTTCTCTCTTTTCTTTTTTTAAAGAATATGGAGAGATTCTTTTTTTTTTTTAAGATTTAAAAAAAATTTTTTTTTTCCTTTTTCTCCCCAAAGCCCCCTGGTACATAGTTGTATATTCTTCGTTGTGGGTCCTTCTAGTTGTGGCATGTGGGATGCTGCCTCAGCGTGGTTTGATGAGCAGTGCCATGTCCGTGCCCAGGATTCGAACCAATGAAACACTGGGCCGCCTGCAGCGGAGTGCACGAACTTAACCACTCAGCCACGGGGCCAGCCCCACATTCAGCTTCTCTTAATTTTAGTTTTTCAACCATAAAAAGGAGGCAACCAATCTGTGCCATGAAGATCACATGACACAAAGGACATGAAAGTAAATTGTAAACCAGAGGCAGTATAACAGAGTAGTTCAGAGCGCCATGGAGTTCTGGGGTCAGACGCCTTGGTTTCAATCTATACCACATATCAACTGAGTGACTTTGGGCAAGTGTCTTAATCTAAGCTTCAGTTTCCTCATCCATAAGATGAAGATAATAATAGTATCTACCTCGTGAGATTTTATAAACGCTCGATAAAGTAAGTTCCTGGCACAATTCAAGCACTCAAGAAATGTGACCTATAATTATGACAATGATAAATTATAAAGTTTTATGCCAGATAGGAAATCACAAGATCTTATTTGAACTAATACATTACTATTCCCCACAAAACAGTTGTAAGTAGCAGGCTGAGTCATAAAATTCACTCACAGCCATTCCTAATTTAAGAGCTATCCCTTAATTCAGAGCAAGATGTATGTTCATGCAAATGTGCACATATACACACACACAGCTATCAAACCACCAGGGCCTAAATCCCTTCTAATAAACACAGAATTTGTGAAATTTATAATGCTTATGGAAATACAAACACTTCCATTTACTAATAGATTGAGTTAAGATACAGTTTAAAATAGGTTGCATTTGTTCAACATCAAGCATAAATGTTTTCTTTTTAATAAGCACCTTTGGAAATAAAAATGGAAACAGAGACCCTTTTCAAGAACTTGCTTTCTAATTATTACCTCTAGTGGTGGATACCAGCTGGCATATATGCCATAACAGAAACATCACTTATGGGCAGAGATTTGCTTCCTATAAGACTGAGTTGTTGTTTATGACGCACGTCAACTGTTCTAAAGGTAGGTGACTTGCACTAGAAAACACTGATTTTGTGCAGGTCTCATATTTTACAAACTCTCAGGCTGAATCCAATCACACTGCTGATAAAGAGCAAAGAAGGGACAAGGATTAAGCTACTTGGATTATAGAAACACTCCACATCAGGTATAACATTCTCACGCGTCCATAATAATCAGTTCAAGTTGGTACCTGAGGTGGAGAGAACTGCTAACGACCTATATTGCAAGCAAGGGTGGCTTCCTGGCATCACTGTCAACTGTGACATCCCAAGTCAGGCCCTAAGTACCTTTTCTGGAGATTCACACAATATATTTTCTGGCTTCAGATCACGGTGAGCAATGCCTGAAATGACAGAGCAAAGAAATGGTTGCCGTATGCACATAATTATCAAACGTTCCACACACAATTAATTTTTTCCAAATGCTGTTGTTCGCAGATTAATTCCCAATTATGGTACATTAAAAAATCAACGAGCTGCAGGAGGCAGAAGTAACCAGAGACACAAACCAAAAGCCCAGTTGACTCTGCAAGTTCTTTTGAAGCAGAAGCTTTAGAAGTCCGGCAGGGATATGAAGGGCTAAATGAATCCCAGCCAGCCTACCTCTCAGCTCTGCAGTGACGACCAAGAAGAAGCCTAAGACGAGGCAGAGCAAAGAGCTCTGCAGAGGGCCATGCTTGGAACAGCAATGCAGAAATAATTAGTGCCTTGTTTAAGAGCATCTCAGGGGGCCGAGACTGCTCTACCTCATTTCTTCTTGTGTGGCCGATTGAAAAAAAAAAAGATTCCTTCAGTGGGACTCCCTGAATGTTCAAAGGATCAAGTGTTAACAAATCTCCCAAAGCATGTCCGATTCCCTTCTCACCTGCTCTGCATAGTCTGAGACAGTCCCGCCAGAAGCACAGCAAGGACCGCTTTGGCCTCAGGGTTCTGTCCTTAAGAAAAGCCTCCCCTGCATTTTGGCCAGACCTCCTGAAGGAGACTGCGGACAGCAGCTTACCCCATGAGGGGCTGAACGCTGCTGACCTGGCCAAGAAGGGACCTGGAGGAAGACCTTCTAGCCAAAGATAGGGACAAAGCAGCAGCTCACAGGGCCATGGTGTCCTAGTGGCAGACACAGAAACCTCCCATTCCTCTTTCCTCCCGCAGAATGTGCGGCGCAGAGACAGGAGGGCTGGAAGGTCGAGTAAAAACCGCACAGCTACTGCTAGGAAGTACTGGGCAGCAGCAGAAGTACCCTGTTCGTGGGGTCACAGGGAAAGCAGAACCAGCCTTCCTAAAACTCCCCTGTGCCCAACTTCTCAGGCAGCCCACTGGTGGCACTTCACTAGAGAGGAAAAACCTGAGCTCCAGCAGGCTCAGTAACTTCATCAGCCGCCTAATTGAATGAGAACCCAGAGCAACTCAGTCCAGGCTGCACAAATTGAGTCGGGCTACAGCCCGCCACACTAAAAGTGAAAGATATTTTCTATTACAGCAAGTGTTCCCACAGAAGGATCATGAGCCACACATGGAGCCCTGCTCTCCAAATAGGTGCCCGTGGCCCGGTCGTCCCCCAGCCTGAGAACTGAGAGCCCTGCTGTAGTAATGGGTCTGCCTCTGTGAGCGCACCAGCCATCGAGCCGCTCCCGTTCATTTCCCAAAGGCCAAGCGGCAGTGTGTCCAGTATTTAAAAGTATGGAACTTGTTTCAGGGCTGACCCATTCTTGCCCAATTCATCTTCCCAGCATGAAGTTATTTAGAAAACAGCCAAGTTCGGCTGGAAATCGTTTTTCATACCCTCCAACTTCTAGTCACATGGGCAGCTGGCCAGCTAGATGTTAACAAGCACTTCAGAACTCCTAAGACACCACCAGCCTTTGTTCCCTTTAGTGCATTCTTGTAAAAAATAAATAAATAAATAAAAAATAAAACCGCCTTTACCCCCCTCCAAGGTATGGATCTTGTAAAAAGTGTGACCCAGTTTTGCAATCTACAGAGGCAGCTTGGGGAGCGGTTGTAAATCTTTGTCAAACAGGTGTTACCTACGTGCATCCCGGCTTTCAGAAACAGAACTACTGCTATTCATCATGCTATGGAAAGCAGAGACACCCCTTCTAGGAATTTTCATCCCACGTGTAAGTCAGGCCCCCAACATGGGTACATCAGGAGATGTCTCTTCAGCCACTGGAGGAAACGAGGTGGAATCAACACACCTGAACTTCCCGCACACACGCCGCACCAGGCTGCACTGTGTTGCCGGCACAACGTGGGATCCGTGATTGGCATGCCTACAATTGGTCCTGAGCACGCACAACCGATGTGGCAGTGTCCACAAAAATGAAGGGAGCAGAGCTAAGTCACAAATTATTCACTCCACCCCCACCAGGCAGAATTCTTTACTTTAAGGGAATTAATATTAGGATAAAAAATACTTTCTGCCTAGTGAGGGATAAGGGTGGAGGAAATAACATTTTTGAAGAAACACTGTGTGCCAGGCACTATGCTCCAACTATGTTTTACATATACAATATACATAAGATACACACAATTATGTAAGTGAGTTTATATAAAAGGCTTAGAACAGTGTCTAACACATAAGTGTTAAGTGTTAATACTGTTGATGAGATTATTATTATCATCTCTCTTAATTCTCACCATAGCTCTGCGAAGTAGGCATTATTACTGAGAGAGCACATAGCTGGTAAAAAGGTGAAGCCAGAATTCATTTTTTTCCATGGCACTGCTGTCAGGCAAATTTAAAAAATGTATGTAATAGTCAAACATATTTATGGAAATGCAAAAATGTTTAATTTGCAAAAAGATTTAATATACTACAAACATTCTTAAATAACCAGTCCTAGATCAAAGACTGTAAAGCAAAGTGTAATTGAAACAATAGCAACATGCTATTTACCGTCATGATGTTCAACAGATACCTCAAATGTACGATGTTAGTAGAAAAATGCATTTTCCATTTATCATGAGCAAGATATAAAACTTCATACGTACCATCATGCAAATTTTGAAAAGAGAGATACAGGTGATATATTTTAAAAGACCAGGTTGAATAACACTCAAAGTGTTATTCGAAATACGAAAAGTCGTATTATGCGTAAGTTTTACTTTCTTCATTAGGAAAGACTATCCACATCCACACACTCACACACATCTGTTCAACATGACATTCTTTTTCCTCCCTGCTATTTTTCTTGTATCCCCAGCCTGCTTAATAGCTCCACCTGTACCCACCGTCCACACCAGAAGCCCAGGAGCCATCCTGGCCTGCCCACTCACCCTCAGCAGCTGCACCTGCTCCTGGCCCAGCCCTCTGCCTGGCCTGCTCCTCTCCCTTGGTCCCCAGAGGCTGGCCAGCTCAACCCACCTGCCAAGGCAAAGGCTTGGCTCACCTTTGGTGTGCAGGAAGTCAAGCGCAGCAGCAACATCCCGCACCACTCGGCTGGCATCTCGCTCATTGAAGTGCTTCCGCTTCTGGATGTGGGCCAGGATGGAGCCTGGGGAGCAGAGGGCACACAGAGGAATGCCTTTCAGGCTCTGCTCTGCTAAGTATAACTTCTCAGAGGACAAGTTTTCACAAGTTTGGGGTGGTGACAGAAGCTTCTTCATTACTAAATGTCTAGCAAGTGTGGTACCTAGCGCAGAGGCGGTACCAGCACAAGACTGGACTAAACAGAACTGGATTGCCGTCTTCTGTACCTAACCATGATGAGCACACAAGGGAGAGAGAACAACTATTTAAACGAGCAAAAAATACTAATGTCATGGGGGAGATTTGGCTTCTGAAATCAAAAAGAACTAAAAGTGAATCCACACAGGGCTGGGGGCCTGTCTGCAGGAACTTTCTCTCCTCTACATCTGATCCCAGACCCAAACAAGAGCACGAGGCTTCATGTGGGAATACCACACCCTCATCGAGATGTAAAGGTCTAGAAAAAGGAAAAAACTGCTTTTTCCCTTGAACTTTCTCATTTATTATTATTATTATAATAATTTTATTGGCAATGGCTAACATTTATTGAGTAGTTACTATGTGCCAAGCACTATGTAATACTCTTTAAATAGATTCTCTTATCCTCATTGCAACTGTACAAAACGTACAAAATATAGTTATCTCATCTCCATTTTTTAGATGGGGAACCTGAAGCCAAGGATGGTTAAGCAACATGCTCAAGATCACACACCAGTAAGTGTGTGTGGACTTAAGCCCAGTAAGTCTGGCTTCAGAGCCTGTGCAGACTTCCTCTCAGCAGGACTTGTGGTCTGACTGCTAGGGGGCTGGGTTGCCCTGAGCCAAATGCACTCTCTTTACTTACTGGGTCTGGCCTCGGTAGAGCTGTACTCTAAGTGATATGGTCACTGACGACCCCAGCTGCATCCAGCATTCAGACATGCAATTCACAGTCCTAGCGTTGCTGGGTGCAGCGGGGACAGGCAGGGGCATAAACGTGCAGCTGGGTCTATGCTCACTACTGGAAGCTAGTATTTCTGGGCTGAAGGTGTCATCTCTGTGTCCTAAAAATGGCACGTTTACTTATTTACCTCTGGTTTTGGGCATGGGGAGGGGATGAAAGATCTTTTATTTGCCAGATTAAACAATCAAAGGATCTCAACATGCTAGGGAACATTCTGAGAAAACTGGCTCCTGGCTAGGTCTCAGGCTTGCTCTACTGCAGTGGGTCTCTTGTTTTCAAATTTATTAAAAGGGAAGGAGGAAAGAATTATTCTACGTACTTCCAAGCTAGCCCTTAGCATACCTGTTTTATTAATATTAACAGCTGACATTTATTGAACCCTTAGTGCCTACTGGGCACTATGCTAAGCATCTCATATGAATTATCTCATTTAATCTTCACAGTGTCCCAAGGAGGTAGGTGTTGTCATTATCCCTGTTTTACAGATAAGAACACTGTTTGGAAAAGTTAAGTGACTTGCCCAAGGTCACAAAGCTAGTAAGTGATGGAGCTAGACTTCAACTTAGCTTTGTTGGTTTCTAAAACACACTCCCTTAACCACCAAGCTCCTCTGTGTAGTCGTCCACTCAGCTCCGACATCCTCCCTAACCTTCACCTTGCAAATGTGTCCTAGGGTTGGGTGAGTCATGGCTAGGGAAAGGGCTTCTCTATCCCCTTCTCTATCTCCGAAAAGCCACTTGAATATACATCCCAGTGATTATGTGTGGGAGTGATGGCAGGAGTGGTAAATGGTCAAGAATGGCATCTTTCTACCAGCAGGATGGCACATTCTCAGGCCTCCTCTCTATCTGGGTCTGTGTCCTAAACAATGGAACCCTCCTCTCCCTCAGTGAGCTTTTCTGGGCTTCACAGTGTATGCAAGAGTTTCCACCCCATAATTAATTTAGTTAAATAATGAATGTGTCAAAACAATGGTTTGATAAATTGATGACGAAATGTATCTATATTTGAGTCCTATTATAATGAGGAGGCATTTCTAGAATGCCCACACAGGTGACATTCTAAGCTCTGCAAAATGCTAATTATCATCCTTCCCTCCGGCCTCCCTTCTCCCAAATCAAGGGCAGTTTTAAGTCCTTCATCCTTTTTATTAGCTTGACTCATTTTAGAAGTCTCTGGGATTCATGATGGATGATCACCACTCTGAGTCTTAATCAGAAGTCCAAACACATACTCAACAGTAAGTACCTCCTTGCAATTTCTCAAAGACCAAGTAAAACCTTGTGTCATCTTCAAAGAACTCAATCAGCTCCAAAATGTTCCTTAAATAGGAAAAAATAGGAGGAAAGGGGAAAAAAAAGGGGAAATGGTATTATATATTAAAGCCCACTTACAAATATTAAATGAAAAAAATATACAATGCCCTGTAGCAAGACAGAAATCAACTTGAAATCAGAATGCTTATTAAAGACTCATGTTTGAGAAGTAGCCAATGGTGTTAGCAAGATTCAGGTCACCTTATCTTTCCATAATGTTTAGTCTCTGGTGTTTTCACCAAGTCTACGCTGTCAAACCCCAATCCTAAAACCCACTAGGTAGAGTTATAAAAAAGTCCCGGTCACATTAAACTGAATAAAATCTGCAGCCGACTGGAAGCAATTGCGGCTAATAACACTGAATAGTAGGTGTGTGTCCTGGAGGCAAGCAGCAAATAATTACTTGCCCTCCCTCTTGCCCATAAATCACGGGGCAGTATTTACATTGCCTGAAGAAAATGGAAACATCTGTCAAATAGACTTGGGGCCTAACGTGGGCACCGCCAGACCCTAACTGCTAAGCGCTGCTTAATGAAACGGCCACGTTCCCGCCGCCATAGCACTTGTGGCCTTCCCCGGTGAGCACTCTCTGTCTGCCTGAGCATTACTGTGCTCTGCCAACAAGGTCGCCTTGTAACTCAGTAGGGAAGCCACCAGCCTGGATATCGGAGGCGTTGGCGGCTTTTTTTCTTTTAAAGAACGAAATAAACCAAGTAGAGTCTCTAATGCTGAACTCAGAAGCTGCAGGGCTGAAAATAAAAATCTGTCCCTCATAAAAAAATGCTGGCCACTTTGGGAGAGACCAGGCTTTCACTAGAGTGAAGGCATCCAAATAAGACGGCCAAAATGGCCTAATTTGAAAGAAGATTGTAGAGGCAGCGCCTGGAGTTAAATCAGCAGCAGCCCCCATCCTCCAGGCTTAATGACAAAGCCATCAATACCAGCCCACTGGCTCCCTGCCGACCCTGCCATGGAGGGAGAGGGGGAAGCGGAGTCTTAGAGGTGACCCTGATTTAAAGCCACAGTGGGACAGCCACTCATTTGGAGCTGGAGGTGAGCAGACTAAGATGGGGCTGGAGACTACCTTGGCCCAGTTATCAAGCAGAGTGTTAGAGCAGGTTTCAGGACCCTCAGCAGTAGCTGCACATATGTAAATAAGCTAGGATCAGAAAGCAGCAAATATTCTGAATGGTCCTCGTCATCCTCATCTATGAAGTAAAGCAGGTCCCTAAAGATTTCCACTAGGCAACACTCACTCAGCCTAGTTTCCACAGGCGCTTGAAAGAAAGAAAACTCCATTTTTTCCCAATGAGCCACTGATTCAAATTGCTCACTCTTCTAACTTGCCTGAATTGCTGATATTTTTACAGTAATGGAAGATAGTTTCTTTGCTGCTGCTGCTTCTCCTCTCCCCCTTTTTCAAACGTTGAAAGATGGAAGGAGTTATATGCAGTTACGGGGGAAGGAGTGGGAGCTAAATGCTGGGTCAGGGATGATAAGAAATAACCTCCTTTTCTGTGGCCAAGAATCCCCCCCAGAGAAGCAGCAAGTAGCAGCCCTGTACTCACTTGTTTCCTTGACACTGATAGAGCGTCTCCACCTCTCGAAATACCCTACTCCGACTGTGCCCTGCTTGTTTTTCGATGATCTGTGGGAAGAATAAAATGTGTCACATACACCCCCCTGACCTCAGCAGGGGCCCCCTGGGAGAACGCAAGGCCAAATACAGCCCAAATCCAGTTTCAAGCACAAGTCTGGAGTAGGCCTTCATGACAGGCACTGTGGCTCTGTCAGCAAAGCAATAGATTGGCCTAAGGGCTTTCCAGCCGGTCTGGGCCTGTTCCACTCTGCCAAGTACAACACCAAGAAAGCGTATGAGGCTGCTGCCCCCCAGCTGCCCCCCAGCTGCCCAGGGGAGACTGAAGAGCCTGCAAGACAAAGAGCTACATCTACCCATTCCGACCCAGAGGGCATCTCTTTCTGCCTCACGGGTAAGAATTCACCACCTCTACGGAAGGATCTTCTGGTGCTGGAGGAAGAGCCAGGGGATGAAGGACACAGTGGAGAGAGACTAAAGCTCCAGGGCCCAGCTCAGATGCCACCTCTGCACTTCTGAGAATTTACCCTTGGGCAGGCACTGTATTGAGTCATTTGGGTACACAGTCTGAGCTAACCCTTACAACACAAATCCCAAAAGACAGGAAGAGGTAAAATATTTGCTCACAGCTCTGATAAGTGACAGGGCTGGAATTTCAGCCCAGAGTTGCCTCCAAAGCCCTTGCTATCCTGTACCTGCCTATGTCCTACAGGGCTTCTTTCAGGGAACCTATAGGCTTTGTCTCCCCTACGACACTGTGGGCTGCTCCCCCTCCCCACCTATTCCTGGAGATGCTTGGCAAACACTGAGTGAAGGAATGGATGAGCCAACAGAGAAGCAGCTGGTTTACACAGGGCTGGGCTGACTCTGAACATCTCTACAGACCCATCCAGAGTCACAAACTGTTGCACGTAGAGCCTGCGGGCAAGTCTCCTGCAGAGCTGGCTCTGCCCTACAGCCCCACGTGTAGAGTGGGCAGCAGAGATGATGACATCCTGTTCCTTCGTTCCAAGACTGCTGTGTAGAACACTTCAAACTTCTTCAACATGTTGTAGCACAAACATCCATGACAAAATGTAATTTCCCAAACAAGTCCACGTCTGTTAGTAAACCGCTGTGGACACATTTTCTGAGCAGTCAGAGAGGGGCAGTACTGGGCAAAGAAGTGACTCAACTTGTTTCTTTACCAAGAGTTTCAGATCAAACTCAGGAAGAACTTTCCAGCAGGCCAACTATCCAGCAATGGACAATTTTCTCTGAGGAGGTAATAGACCCCTGCTACAAGAGAAGGGGAACAGAACAAGGACAACTATTTGAGGAGTTACAGAGGAAAATGAGGACCAGATTATCTTGAAATTCCACTCCAACCCCGAGACTCTAGGATTCACCAGTTGGATGCCTGTAGGGAAAGCCCTAATACAACCAAGAATTGTGGAGTCATGCTGGGAGAAGTAGCCCATCTCTAGGGAGCTTTCAAAGAACCAGAGAGACATGAGATGTGGGCAGAAACTAAAGCATCTCCAGGCCAGGGGCCAGTCCTTGCCCAAAATGCCAGCGGGCATGGAGGAAGGGCCAGGTTTTCCTCTTGTGATCCAACCTTGAAGAAATAGGTCTGTTATCCATAAATGTATTCAAACTTTTGAGAATCAATTTACATTTGTAGTTTTTACCATATTTAGGCATATTTTTAAAAAATTACTCGCAATCTATACTGATCTGTTTCCAAAAAGGAATCGTGGTAGTGCTTTTGTTACCACATTAAGCAACACTCCAGCAAAAAGGAACACAGCTTAGCAGAAGTGTTCTCCTTTAGAAATCTACAGCTGGGACTATGGCCAGTTGGCTAAACGAAGAAACATTTCCTTCAGGAGCCAGTTTGACTGGTTTGCCCATCTGAGGCGGCACTCGGACCTGGGGGCTCAGGTGGATGATTTGAAATAAGCTTGACTTGCCTCCTTGGATTTAATAAGACCTTATTTCTAGGTCAATGGTTCTCAAACTTTGGTGGGTATCAGAATTACCTGGGGAGCTTGGTAAACATACAAAGACCCCCCTCCTCTATTAGGAGACCAGGGTCTCTGTGCGCTTTCTCAGCCCTCCAGGTGATTCCGATACACACGAAAGTTTAAATCTGCCCTACGTCAGGGCTTCTCAAGCTTTAGCAAGTGTCAGAACCACCTGGAGAGCTGGTTAAAACTCAGATTGCTGGGCCGATGCCTAGTTTCTGACTCAGTAGGTCTGGCGTAGGGCCAGATAATTTGTATTTCTAACAAGTTCCAGGCAATGCTGATGCTGCTGGTGCAGGGACCACACTGTGAGAACCACTGCTCTCGATCCACCCCTTTGTCCATGGGGGAGTCGGCAAACAGAAGCACACAGGGGTGAAGTGAGCCGCTCCAAGGTCATGCAAGTAGAAGTCACCTCTCCTGCTCCAAAGCGGAGCGCTCAGTCCTCATTATCACGATACTGTACATCACTTGTACAGCATTTCGTAATTTGTGAAGTGTTTCTACTTCTACCAGTTCCTTTTTATTTTCATCTTCATAACCACTCCACGAGACAGGAAGGGCAGGGATCATTATCTTCATTTGAGAGATGTGGGAACTGAGGCTCAAGGGGGTTCAGTGACTTGACCAAAGTCAAATAGCAGTAGTTTGTCAAAACAGAAATTCAGGTAGGCCTTCTAATTCCAAATCTGATTGTCTGCTCCCTGAAGCTAATTTCATTTGTCAGAATAATAAGACACAGCTTACTATGAGCCAGGCATTGTTCTAAGCACTTTACACATGTTAACTTATTTAATCCTCACAACAACACTATATAGGTTCTATGGTTACACCCATTTTACAGATGAGGAAACTGAAGGACAGAGAGGTTAAGTAACTTGACCAAGGTTACACAGCAAATAAGTAGAGAAACCAAGATTTGAACCCAGAGACTATAGCTTCAGAGCTCCCATTCTTACTGAGCTACAGTATTGGGGAATATAAAATTTATTTGTTTTAGGACAAGCTGGGACTGACTATTTGCAAGGTAAAGCCTGGCATCCAGATAAGAAACTCACTTTGACAGCATACTCTTTGCCATTCTGCAGGCTCACGGCACCTTGAACTTTGGCATAGGCTCCCTCTCCAAGCAATTCAGAGGTCAGCTTGTACGTATCTAGAGGTGAAATGGATGAGAGGAATAACAAGGTGAGTCACCCCTTTGCAAGTTAAGGTGGAGAGAAGAGCTTCTGTGACTCAGCTTCCCCGGTGGGACAACACAGGCACATGATGACCCCATAGCACTCAGTGATGAGGAAGACCATTAGCTTTCCCAGCCATCTCAGGGCTCAGATTTTCAACAAGCAGACCACATCGAAGGCATCCTGTTCCTCAGTTTAGAGATGAGGTCAGTGAAAGGGTTTCAATTTGGCACACAATTCCTGAGCACCTACCATGTGCCAGACAGCACATTAGACTCCTAATAGGGACAGAATGAGGAATAAATACAGTCCCTGCCCTTTGAGGGTCACAGTCCAGTGGGGAGGACAGACATGTACAGAAGTGACCACAGAATAACCCCGGCAGTGGTGACTACTATCTCAGAGGGACAAGGCACAGTAAACAGAGCAGAGGAAGGGAAAGATAACTCTGTCCAGGGACTCTGGGAGACCCTCACAGACGGGGGTGTGATTTGAATGGACATCATTCATTCATTTACTCATTTGCCAAGTACCTACTATGTGCCCAGCTCTGTGCTAGGCACTGATGACATAAAGGGAAGTAAAGCACTGTTTTATTTTATATCACACACAAAGGAGGTCATCGGAGGTTTCTGAGAAGTTTCCATAAGTCACCCACAGAAATAAGGGACAGAAGTAGGATGCAAATAGACGCCTCAAGGTTTTTAGGGTACTGAGTCTAACAGAGTAATAGGCCTGGGTTGAAAGAACATTTAGGTGACCTGCCCGAGCTCACAAATAGCACAAGCTCTTTGAGCCCCTTCCAAAGGAAGCCACCGCTCTGTCACAGCCTCTGCCAGCTGACCTCCTCCAACCTTGGCCTCCATTCTTCAGCTTTTTCCTCTTGAGGCAGCCTAGCATTTAAACCCACAGAATGAGCAAAATACTTTTTAACCATGAAATTAGATTTTATCACTCTTAGTCATGAGAAGCCCTATAATTGCACAAGCTATCCTTGAATAACAGGAAATACTCTTGTGTTCATCGAAAGAACAAGATTGTTGATTTGGAACCTATTCTAAAAAGCTTGGGACTTTTGTCCATCCTCCTTCCCTCCCCCTATACATACACATCTACTGTTTGAGTTAAAGACAAACAGACAAAACCCTGCACTAAGCATCTTCCTGGTTCCATCACAGTTTGGTCTTGCAGCTGTTTATAAGAATGCACACTGTTGTTTGTAAGTATTTTAAATGATGTTCCTTTCTCACAACGGACGCTCTGGTATTAGCCTTTTACACGCCAGGATAGGTTGGTTGTTGGAGGTCCAGTATTCCTGACTCATAAAGGGCTTGTTCTTAGAACCACTCTACAAAACGATCAATTCACTAGTGTATCTGCAGTGTTGGAAAGAGGGACCACGAGGAGAAGCTATTTCAGGTCTCGTATGAAAGAAACAAAATAGACAAAAGGGGCATGTCACTCCTGGGAGTGGCTACTGATCTTTCGGTCCTTTGCACAAGTGTCCAATGTTCCCCTCATCCCATCACATGCCCAGTGATAACAGGAGCAGCACTGAGCCTGGTGCCTCACACATAGAGTGTGTTCAAAATGTTTGATGACCCAACATTGCGTCCCCTGATCACAACACGCACTCTTAAAGTGGAGTCAAACCCAGACAGCACAAGTAGCTGCAATCTCTGGGAGCCAAATTCTCTGTTTATAGAAGACTGAAGTTTCCTTTGCAGCCATGGCCCTTGGTGTTCTCTCATCCTCTTACATTCTTGTGCTGCCTCTCAGCATCCCCTGAAGGAACAGCTGAGGGAAAGGTGATGTGTGAGAAGGGGCTGAAACACACCAGGCAGTCTCACTCCATGTACAACTCTAACAGATTGGTCTCTCTGTACACGGATGAGATGCTCGAACCATTCAAAGGAGGCCGCACATCATCTGAGAGTTTTTCCATCTCTGCTCTTGCTCGCTGTCACTCCTTTGTGTAAACCCTATCTTTCATCCCTATCACCCAGATAATCATGAGCTGGCTCTAAGATGATGCAGCCTGTGATCGAGACCCACGGGCTTCCAGGATGCTCCTCCCATGCTTGGGCAGCCACAGGCCCAGATCTGAGAGAGGTGTGTGACCAACCTTCAAACCTTCCTGGCAAGGAGTCAGTGGCCCGGGCCTTCCGCTTCTTCTTCTTCCTCCCCTTGTCACTTTCTGCAATGGGAAGGGGTTCACTGCTGCCCATCTCTGGAGAAAAGAGGAGATGTAAGGGAATATCATTGTACTGATCAAGCTATAAGTTCACCCAGAAGAAGGGGTGGGGCAGGAGATTTACATTGATGGTTTCTAAACATCTGTGAGGATTACTGATTTGTTTTGACCCGGGAGGCAAAACTAAATGCAAAACCATTATAGGAGATCATTAACTGTGGAAAGGAACTCTGGCAGAGAGGCTGGATTAAAAGAGGACAGCAGAAGTCTGTTTTAACCAAGCTTATTAGCACATGGATTTAGATCTGCCACCAGTCAAACTATAGGCCCCAAATAGAACAACCCATGAGCAGAGTCCCACCTGTGACATCCTCCAGCCTCACAGCCAGAAAGGCAGGACTGAGGGAGTTAAGCAAGGTGGGGGGTGTGGTTGGGAGAGGTCCATGCAAATGAAATCATACGCGCAGTGACCTCCCTGTGGAAGCGCATGGGGATCAAAAGGCCTTCAGTGGAGGCTGCTTCTGTGAAGGTATTTGAGGATGGCCCTGTTACTTCACGTCCAAGAGCACAGACATGAGTGCCTGTGGAGCCCAGAGTGTACTCTCCCCTCCTCAGCTCCTTATTTGAAAGGCTGCAGGTAGGGCCCACCCAGGAGTCTGCAGTTGACAGGTCTACAGCAGGCTGCTGGATGAGGTCGTTTATTGCAAAAACATTATTATCTCTCACTGGCAAGCACCTGGCTCCCCCTGTTAAAGGGAGGATTTGTGAGGCAGACATTGAGACACTGGACAGATTGGGCAGGAAAGGGCAGGGACAGAAAGAATAAGCAGGAGACTGAGACGGGGAAGAGAAGAGGAGGAATAATGAGCCAGTGCCCAATCATAGTACTGTTTCTAAGACACTCTAGATAGGGCCTTCCCCTGTTAAAGATAAATTACTTATAGAACATGTCATGCCCCTGATCCAGAGTGGAGCCTTAATACGCTTTGCCTGCAGTTAGAAATAATAAGATTTCTCTGAAGTCTCTGGGTCTAAATCCCCACCAGGGTGATTAAACCTTTACATCCTTCTAAAATAGAGGCACTCGAGTGCTGATGGGGCATATGACGTGAGAGACTTTTAGACCAACCTTCAATAAACACAGGCTCTAGCTTGTTGGATTTTTTTTTTTTTCTGAGAGATTTTGAAATGGAAGCTGGCTCTTTGCCCACTGAGGGGAAAGGCCCGCTCTTCTCAGAGGACCCTGGCTGAACACGATCAGAGAAACAGCAAGTCTGCTCAGGAAGATTGATTAGAGTCGATGCATGTCTTCCATACACTGTTCTCAGAAGCAAGTACACAACAGCCATTAGGAGAAAGCACACAGAACAATGGCACTTTTCAACACCACAATCCAGAAAGCATGCTTAAGCAACCAAGTGTCTGACAGCTCAATTTAGGTGCATTCTTCCTTCCGTTTTTAGGATCTGATGACAGCAGATTTTCAATTATACATTAGAGAACAAACACACGGATAAAAGGAATCCTCAGAGGATCTCAAAATATTACTCTAGCCAACAACTTCAAACCCAAGATATATCTGGGGACTGCAACATGCTATGAATGCAAAGAATTGAATTTAAATATCAGCAGCCAAATATCCACCCTCACTAAGGCAAACTAAAAGGAAAAAAGCTGCCCAACATAGTGAGAAATTCTACAGAAATAAAACACAGGGTCACTCATCTTCTGGAGCTCAGGGAGGGGGCACTGGCCATCGGGAAAGCAGGCTGAGAAGGAGGGACCTCTGTCCCTCTTGCTCTGCCCTTGTGTGCAGTCCAGTGTCAACTCTCGTCTCCGTCTGTTTTCTCACCAGTACTGCGAGCCAAGTGCAGAGTGGACAGATTTTGGATTCACTTCTCTTTCTCCTTTCCCTACCCACACTCTGATGGAGGGCCTAAGGACAAGCAAAACAGCCAAAAGGCAGGCAACGTAGAGGAGCAGCAAGAGAGCCGGTGGCATTATAATTCACAGGGGATGCTCAGACATACTTACGACTCTAGCTAGAAAACCCTGTTAGCGGCAATTTACACTTGGTTTTTACCACGGCAGGGCTGAGGGAGCCTCTTGTGGAAGAAGCACACCTCTGAGCACTGCCGCACGCTCAATATTAGACTTTATGGCTTCACACACAAAAAGATGGAGTACCTGGTCTATTCTGCATGGATTTCAATGGAAGAGAGTACGCCGGAAGGGACAAATGGTTAAGACTTTCCTTGGAAACAGAGCTTGTTGAAGGAGAACTGTTTTTGAAACTAGGAAGAAAAAAATGCAGGAAGACAGTGAAGTGCAAAAATATCCCTAACTTCCCTGTTTTCACAGGAGGAGGGGGGAGAGGTGTCATAATCTTACCAAGCGCTCGATAGTTCACCATCTGAAGCCTGTCCATACACTCTGTTTTATCACAGACAGTCCACCAGCAGGGTCTGAGGACCTGAATTTATCATCCACGCAATCATTTGATAAAAGCTTCCTTAGGGTGCAAGCCTCTGCAATCAGGCTCCTCGGCTCACCTCCTTCCCTTGGCCTAAGAATTCTTCGCCGCCGTCGAAACCCAGCTCGAAAGTCTCCTCCCCTTGCAGTGAGTTAAGATTTGAGTAAACACTGTGGACAGTTAGGCAATACGCAAACAGACGGTACGACCGCACAGAACTATGGTTAGTGCTCCCTCCTCTGCTCCCAAGCCCCCTGTAGGAGCTCTACTGGAGCTCTGATTTTATTTGGCCTTGAGCTCTCCCCAATGTTCCCCAAGGCCAGGTCTGTCGCCTGTTCATCGCTGCATCTCCCATAAGTCATGGCACAGCGTCAGACACATACCAGCCATCAGAAAACACGCACTGAAATGAAAATATGAAATGATGCACATAATCATGCATCACTTAACAATGGGGATATGTCCTAAGAAATGCGTTGTTAGGTGATTTCGTCATCGTGTGAACATCATAGAGTGTACTTACACAAACCTAGATGGCACAGCCTACTGCATACCTAGGCTACAGGGTACTAATCTTATGGGACCGCCACCAGACATGTGGTCCACCACTGACTGAAACGTTACACGGCACATGACCGTGCTTAACGTTTGATGCAGTGCATGTCACCCAGGCCCTTTAAGTTCCAAGTGCACACACTGAAAGAAATGTGGGTACATCTTTGCCCTGCAGACAACACAGAGTAATGCTATTTAGTTCTATGACTTCCCTGACAAACTCCCTCTAAAAAAAGTCCTATGATCTTAACTTTCTAGCCAGAAGCCTGGTCCTTGCTATACGACTTGGCAATGTGTCTGTTATTTCAGAGGAGGAAGTGAGGACTTCTTTTAAGTTTTTAGACAGACTCCAGCTGCTGTAGAGGCTCCCAGCACTTCCACTGCCTCCAGCCCTTGCTTTTCTTTTGGGCAGGGTTTGGTGGCCTACCACTCGTGAGATGGTGGAGGAGGAGCTGGAGAGGAGGCACCCTGTTGACAGGGAAGGCACATGGGCTTGGCATCAGGAGACCAAGGTGAAAGTCCTGCTTCAGATATTACCAGATGTAGCACCAAGGCCAAGTTACTTTGCCTCTTACAGTGTCTGTTTCCTTATCTACTGCAAAGGTTTAAAAATAATACCTGCCCTTTCCGGCAACCCTGTGAGGACCCAGTGATATACTTAATATAAATGCACATCAAAAAACATGTGTATGCACAGGTATGTATGCACACACAACAGAGAGAACACTAGACAGAAATATACAAAAACGTTAATACTACAACAATTTGAAAGAGTGCCTACTATGTGCCAGGCACCGTGCTAGGTATTTTACATATATTATCTCTAATTCTTACAATAATCCCAAAAGGTAAATATTTCACCCTATTTCAGGTGAGGAAACTGAGGCTCAAAGGTTAAATAATCTACTGAACTCCAAACGTCTAGTTAGTGGTTTAATTGGGATTCAAAATCAGTGCTGCCCTTGCAAGTCCAGGCCATTTCTAACCTGTAGTAGTCCTGTCTATGTGAGGAGGTGATTTTTATTTTCCTCTTTATATTTTTCAGTATTCCCCAAATTGCGTACAATGAAATTTATTACTTTTTTATGCTATTATTGTTTTAGTCAAGTTTTATTTTTCAATAAAATACACAATTTTTCTCCAATACACATCAGAATTTAGAATCTGATTATACAGTATTTAAAATTATATCTAGATTTCTCTGTATTGAAATTCGACATTCAGTGAGCAAAAATGTTTCAGGAATATTGAAGCCTTGAAGATATTATTTTTATAACCTTGAAAAACAACAAATACTATTTTAATTTTTATCTTTTTTTTTTTTTTAAGATTGGCACTTGAGCCAACATCTGTTGCCAATCTTTTCTTTTTTTCCTTCTTTTCCCCAAAGTCCCCTCAGGACATAGTTGTATATCCCAACTGTAGGTCCCTCCGGCTGTCCTATGTGGGATGCCACCTCAGCATGGCCTGACGAGCGGTGCCATGTCGGCGCCCAGGATCCAAACCGGCAAAACCCTGGGCCGCCGAAGTGGAGCACGTGAACTTAACCACTTGGCCACAGGGCCGGCCCTAATTTTCACCTTTTTTAAATGCTATTTTTAAAAATGAAAAACTTTGTAAAAACAAAACACAACAACGTATTGAACATTCAAGCCTGAGAAACACCAGTTTGAATCCTGGCTCTCCACCCCTGTGTGAGCTTTGGCAAGTTGCTTAGCTTCTCCAGGCACCAGTTTCTTATATAGAAAATGAGGGCAGAGTAAGGACTGGGCTGCCTATATCATTAGGCTGTTGTGAAGGTCAAATAAGAAACTAGATGTGACGGCACTGCTGACTTATTCATTCAACAAACACTATAGTTATTGGGCACCTACTGATTGTCCAGTGCTAGACAGTGAGAATATAAGAGAAGACACAGTCTCTACCCTTATGGAATTTAAATCCACTGGCATGTAAAACAATTCCAATCCAGTAGGACAAGTGCTGTGACAGGGAAGTCCCAGGTGCTGTGGGATAGACAACAGGCATTTAACTCAGTTTGGGAACTAGATGAGGGGACAGCTAAGCTGACACCTGAAGGATGAATGGGAATTGGCCAGGGCAGGGCTGGGGAGGGAGACAGAGGAAGAGTATTTGCTAGGCCTGAAGGAGAGGCAGCCTGGTTGGCCAGTGTGAGTTAGAGAGAACTCACAGATGAGGAGGGCCGAGGAGTCTTACCCAGTGGGACTTCAACAGCAACAGATGTTCCTGACATGTGAGTACCGATCCATTTCTGGTTCCCCTGCAAGGCAACCCCAAGGCCTGCCTTCTGAAAGAACTGTGTCATTTCTCCATGAAGTCTATGAGCCACATTGCCCCCAAAGTGACTAGATGTGCTTTCCATATTTTGGTAGAGTCTGTAGAGAATTAACCAGCTCCCACATCTGGTATGTGATAGCAAAGATGATCATTTTTCCCCTAAGAGCACGACTTCGCTGGCTAACTCAGCTCGGCCGGCCTAGCTCGTGCTCCTCTCCTAACCTCTCTAGCATTCTCCTCAAGGTCTATGATTCACTCCTCTTCCAAACCTGCAAGAGTTACTTCCCTCAGTCACAAGCGCTTTCTAGAGAAGGAGCAGCGGTGAGAGGAAGCTCAAGAGGACAATGATCAATTCAGCTGCCTTCTCAGTCATCAGCTGGCTGAGGGCACCCAAACGAATGGAGAACTGAGAAAATGAAAGCAAAGTGAAGAAGCGAAAGGAAGGGGGATGGACACTCTTAAGGCAGAAGCCGAGACTGAGAAACGTGAGGCAGAGGAGGAGGCAATGAGGAGGCGTCTGGGGAGACTGAGGCTGGACACTGCCTTCTCTAAAGTGGTAGTAGTAGTAGTTACAACACACACCACTACTGCTAGTGACAGCACACACACACACACGGTTATGGTGCCTACCACATGCCAGGCAGTGTTGCAAGCACTTTACAAATACCACATTTGTATATACCTATTTAACTTATTTATTATAACATATAACTTTTTTCATCTTCACAACTCTGTGAGGTAAGTATAATTATTATCCATATTTTACAGATGAAGAAACTGCGGTACAAAGAGATTAAGTAATTTGCCATGGTCACACAACTAGTAAGTGGCAGAGCTGGGATTAAATCTAGATGGTCTGGCTCAGAATTCAAGCTTTTAACTATTATACTATATTTACACATTAATGCTGAAAGGCATAGGGGATAGCCAGTCAGAGTTAGTCAGGCACCAGCAAGAATACTTTTATTTAGAAACCTTAGCACAGAGCTTCCCTACCAATGTGCTGTGAATGAGATACGGATCCTCTCATCAGGCTGAACAGTATCATTTCTGTGCATGCTATCATGTCAGAAAGGTAATAAGTGGCACTGCTCTAGTTTACATTAAAACAAGAGCATTATTACCATATTATCATTATTATATTAAAGTCTGATTTATCAGAAGTTTCCTCTTCTCACTCTGAGATAGCTCTGTATTTCGTGTTTTGGCACATTACATACGACGAGCTACAAACCAATCCAACCACATTATTTCATGGCAGTTCTGGTCTCAGGTACAAGGCTACATTCTTCTACGTGACCTACTAGTTGGTTGATTTGGTTTCTGATGGTATCACTGCTACGCAGGGGACAAGGTCAAGGAAAGGGTGCACTCAAACAGAAGCTAGTCAAATCTAATGCATGGTGGATGAAAGGAGCCACCTGTGGAATCAGCTCAATGAAAGGATGGTCTGTCTGTGAGTGTGATTCCACGGGGCTAAGGTCCTTCACAGGTTTCTCCCAAGAGTCCTGTGTGTAGTGAGGCCGGGCAGTATCATGCAGATTCCAGTGTCTCATTCAACTGCACTGAAAGCAGTTTGAGGCCAGCTAAGGTGGCTGGGTGGTGATTCACAACAGGCCTCAAACTGGGCTGGGACAGTCAGATTTCCAGAGGCAAAAGGTCTAGATTTAGGCCCATCTTCTTCCTCTGTTCTGATTCTGGGATCACAAGCAGACTTCAGAGCTGTCACTGCATCTCTTGGTGGAAGGAATGACAAGAGGAAGCGTAGAGGGGGTAAAGGAAGTGTGTGCTTAAGAAACGGCAAACAGGAGTAAAGGACTGGATTTGTGTGAACACGATAGTATAAAAAGCTGAAAAAGGCGGGCTGAAGTGAGATCAACCAAGCTTATCAGTACAGCCTATAGGGGCCTCCAACATCTGGTCCCCGTCTACTTTCCAGCCTCACCAACAAACAGTCAGCGATTCTTTCAAGTAAAAATGAAAGCAGTGGCTAGTTCATCCTGCAATTCAAACAACCCCACAGGTGCTTTTCCTGAGACAACCAGCGTCCTTTGGTATGCAGAAGTGCTTTATGAGCATTGCCATTTTGTCACACAGAATATTAAAAAGATGTGTACTCAAGGGTTGAGATTCAATAAAACTAATATTTTTTACTGCTTCATCAAGGACATTCTTATGTGAAAATGGCACTTTTTTAAAAACTCTGTGTGGCAGTGAAGAACACAATGATTGCTAGCGCAGTTCGGTGCCACTGCCTTGATTCGTGCTAAGGCACCAGCAGTTTTGCCCACTGTTGCTTTGCAAATAACAAATAACATCTTAGTACTGCTATGAAAATCGTTTTGACCTTGCAGATATCCTGAAAGGGTTTCACGGACCCCCAAGGTCTGCAGAGCACCCTTGTAAACCACTGTTCTAGACAATGAGGAGGGACCGGGTACGACTGGAGTTGCGCTTTAGGGCTATCAAACTAGCTGTGAAAGCAGAAAAAACTGGAGGCTGGAGGGCGGAATGAGGCTGTGGCAACAACCTGAGGAAGGCCTATAACTGAGGCAGGGACAGAAAGGAAGAGACAGGGGCGAGGGAATGAAGTCACAGAGGCAGAACTCGTGCTGGTCCCGCCAGACGACTGGAGACGGTGGAGGAATCAAAGACTCGTACCCTCCTTGAAGGAAGGGACAGGGTCTAATTTCTCTCTCTCCCCACTGCCCAGTATGGAACCAGGCACAGAGGGGGACCTCAATATATGTTCATTAAGCAAAGCCAGGTAACCATAAGAGCAGTAGTACCATCAAAGGAGGGGGGAACTCAGGAAGGGAAGCTGGCTGGGGGTGGGGAGCCGGGGAGACAGTGTGCTGCTGCGAAGCTTCAGATGAAGGGTGACCACAGAGCAGCAAACTACAAAAACTCACAGATAGGCTAAAACCATTCTCACCCAGCCTTCATCTGACCCAATTTATAAATGATGCATTATTTATAACCTAGCAGGCATGATGAAACCCCAGGTTAGAGTGTCATACACAACACTTCAAAACATCATCATGTATGTCACACATAAATTTAAAAAACATGAAAAAAAAAAACCCTGAAAAGATACATCTCAAGCTATTATTAACAATGGCTACTTTGGGAGAATGAAAATGGGTGGTTACAGAATTTTACTTTTTATACTTCTGTTGTATTTGATTTTGTTTTGTTATGATACAGTTGTTTTACTTTTACAATTAAAAATAAACAAGTATGTTTTATCTACTGCATGGTTTTCCTATGACTCTCTCTGCCATTTTATTCTGGTAGAAATGTGCTCCTCCCTACTAAGTAGCTGTTTTAGGCATGCCAGGCAGCCCAGCTAATCCTAGCTGCCCAGCTGAATAGTGAAATCTTGGACTCACCCCTTCTGGAAATATCAGGTAGTTTCATCCTGAAGCAATCTAAAAGGCTAAGTAAAATGTACATCCAATCTTACCTATAGTTTGTCCAACTTTTGAGAAGCGAATCCTCTGTAAACTTGAAATTCCAAATAAAATAATGCTTCTGTCAGGAGGTTGCTGTCTTCCAGCTGCAGGAAGCGTTTCAATGGCCTCTGTACGTAGCAGACATTCCTCAACTCTCCATCGGCCTCTGCTTCATCGTATCTGGCATGAAAATCTTCGAAAAGTAGAAATAGAAAGGATATCAAAATGCTGACTTCTTTAAAAGAATCAGGAAAGATAAAAACCAACCTAAGCGTTCCCCAAACCTATGCATTACCCTGGTAAGTAGATTTGCACAAGGCAATCACAGATTTCCCTAGTCTTTAAAATCAGACATTTGAGAGCCGGCCCGGTGGCGTAGCGGTTAAGTTTGCACGTTCTGCTTCTCAGCGGCCTGGGGTTTGCTGGTTCGGATCCTGGGTGCGGACATGGCAGTGCTTGGCACACCAAGCTGTGGTAGGCATCCCATGTATAAAGTAGAGGAAGATGGGCACAGATGTTAGCTCAGGGCCAGACTTCCTCAGGAAAAAGGAGGACTGGGACCGGCCCCGTGGCCGAGTGGTTAAGTTCGTGCACTCCGCTGCGGTGGCCCAGCGTTCGGATCCTAGGCGCGGACATGGCACCGCTCATTAGGCCACGTTGAGGCGGCGTACCACATCCCACAACTAGAAGGACCTGCAACTAAGATATACAACTGTGTACGGGGGGGTTTGGGGAAATAAAGCAGAAAAAAAAAAAAGAAAGATTGGCAGCAGTTGTTAGCCCAGGTGCCAATCTTTAAAAAAAAAAAAAAAGAGGAGGACTGGCAGTAGTGAGCTCAGGGCTAACCTTCCTCAAAAAAAAAAAAAAAAAAAATTCAGACATTTGAGCATTTGAAAATGCTGACACTAAGCATTTGAAGATTTAACAAGGGTCTGAGTAAAGATTTTCAGATTCTGTTTCCAGTGTGGGATTCCAGGCATAGAAAGACGCAACTGGACCTGGATGACAGACACGGACACCTCTGTTCGCTGAGGAGTCTCACCGGGAATGTAAAACTAACACTTCTCTGTCATCCACTTTTTTAGAGATGAATAGACCCTGTCTCTACCTCCTAGTGGCCGGGTCCCATTCTCACAGGCAGGAGGCAACAGAGCCAGAAAGATAAAGTAGATGCTGAGAGCAGGAGGTGGCATGAACGGGAACAAGGTTTTATGCCAAATACATACTAATTGCTAGTTTTCCATCTGATGCAACTTCATTTCCGGATGTCCACTGCTATTTTTAATCTTGTGGCCCTAGCTATCACGTATCAAACTTGGTTTGTCAATTTCTCTACAAAATGAAAATGTACTTCCTCTTTTCCCACTGGAAAAGTTCTGAAAATGCAGTTTAAAACCCAATTCTGGGTCCTTCTGCCAAGATTTCTAAAATAGTTTTCTAACTGGAAGCCGGATGTGTTTCACCATTACCTCAAATCACATGTCCCAAACTGGACTCATCCCCAACCCCCACCCACCACCTCCTTCCTCCTTTCTCTTCTTCTCTCTCAGATGATATCATCCTGCCAGTTTCCTAGCCACAGAACCTTTAAGTCATTTCTAATGTCTCTTTCTCCTCCAGTCTCATAAACTCCATATACTCACACTGTCAGGCTTTCCCTCAGGCTGGTATGTAGCTCCTTGAAAAAGAACACCTATTCACCCTTCAAGGCCCATCGCAAATTACTGAAAGTAGTCCCACAAACTACAGAAGCGGTCCTAGACTCTTTTTTCTACTTCATCCAGCATTTAATGGAACCCACAGCATGCTATTATACTTAGAGTTGGTTATACACAAGCATATGTGGCTCTCCCCCGAGGCCATAAGCTCATCAAAGGCAGGGACACATCTTTCTTCTCTTTGCATTTCCAGCATCTAACATAGTATCTGGAACAAAGAAGGGCTCCAGTAAGTATCTGAACGAAATACTTCATCCACAAAATATTTCTTTATTGTCCCATAGGGAGTATTAGCACATAGAATAATCCTTCCTATTGTGCTTTTTACTCCCAAACAAATTTCTGTGGCCCAAGGAAACTTTCCAGGGCCCAGAGAGGCTCAGGTTACACTCTCTCTCCTTATGGCCACAACACTTCCAGGGACAAGCTTGAACATCCTTGAACTTCAACTCTGCCTTTAGTCTTGCCACAGGTTTAAATCCCTTGGACCCTTCATGTTGCCTAGAGTAGGGGTTGGCAAATTTGTTCTGTAAAGGGACAGACAGTCAATATTTTAGGCTTTGTGCGTCACATGGTCTCTGCTGCAACTACTCAATTTTGCTTTGTAGACTGAAAACAGCCATAGACAATACATACATGAATGATTGCGGCTATATATATATATTTTTTTTTTTAAATTTTGGCACCTGAGCTAACATCTGTTGCCAAGCTTCTTTTTTTCCTTCTTCTTCTTCTCCCCAAAGCCCCACCCAGGACACAGTTGTATATCCTAGTTGTGAGTGCCTCTGGTTGTGCTATGTGGGACGCTACCTCCACATGGCCTGATGAGCAGTGCCATGTCCATGCCCAGGATCCAAACAGGGGAAACCCTGGGCTGCCGAAGTGGAGCGCATGAACTTAACCACTTGGCCACGGGGCTGGCCCATGTGGCTATATTTCAATAAAACTTTCTTTATGGATACTGAAATTTGAATTTTCACACCACAAAGTATTAACCTTTTGATCCGCCCCCACAACCATTTAAAAATGTAAAAAGCATTCTTAGCTTGCAGTCCATACAAAAACTGGTGGTGAGCCAGATAAAGCCTGTAGACAATTGTTTGCCAACCCAGCTTATTTCCCCTCCTCACCAACTCCACTCCTCTCCCCAACACACACACACACTCGCATTCCTCTTCATGTCCACCAGTAAAACAACCCCCAGAACTCCTTTATGCACTGTGTTATTCTGCTGTTTGGAACTACTCTATGGCTGGGGAGGTAGAAAGTGCATGGGTTTTCAAGCCATTAGGGACTAGATTCAGATTCTGCCTACCCTCTACTAATGAGGTACCCTTGAACATAATACTTAGCCTTTCTGTGCTTCACTGTCATCATCTATAAAATGGGGCAATAAAACCACATCACAGGGTTGCTGTGAGAATTAAATGAGCTAATGTATGTCAAGTTCATGGCGTAATGCCTGGTATATAGTTAGGCGCTCAGTAAATAGTAACTATTATTCTAGCTTGGGATATGGCTTCCCCACATCAGCTGTGGTCCTGGAAAGCAATCCAGCTACTCTGTAAACTACAACTGGGCAGCAGGAGAGAATTAACTAGTAGTAAAGTACAAAGGCTGAGAGAAAGAACTTGGAGGTTCTCAGATACATGAGCTGGGATTCTAAGTGCCTAGTTAGCCCTGATTCCTGTGGCACCGTTCCAAATTCCTTTGGGCCTCTTTTCTTCCTCAGCAAGAACTTCTGACTCTCACTCTGCCTGAATAGTCTTAGCATTCCTTACCATACACACAGATAAGCCCTGGAACCCTGTCCTCATTCCTGCACCTCTTCCTGGGATAGGGCTGGGGAAGGGTGAATGTGGCCAGACCAAACCTACACAACTGGGCCTGCCGCTGGGTCTTCTACAGGCTAGGCACCCAATTCTCTCTCAATTCTTCATGAGTTGCCTGCTGGGTAGGGGATGAAATTTTTACAGAGCTCAAGAATTAGTCTTTCTACAGAAGTTTTAGAGCAACAAACCCAAGTATATAAAGAATTCATCATACTTTTCAAGACAGAAAACATCAGTGGAGGAAAGATAAGACAAAGGCTTGTGATATCTCTGCTCTTGGTCCAAAAAGCCAGATTTGAGGCTGTCATTTTCTTGCTCCAACATCTCTAATGGGTGTTCACTGCCTCTGGAATAACCAAGCTCCTGTGCTGTCACTCAGGGCCTCCACAATCTTGCCCCAGATGACCCCTCCTGCACTACGTCTTACCACTCCTCTATAGAAGCCTTGACCAGGCGGAACAGACAATCTGTTTCTACCTAACTGCCCTAAACAAGTTCCAGTTTCCCACACTTGTGCATGATTCAATCATAGCACTAGTAACACGTTACTGGACATCTCCCTCTAGAGTGTGAGCTAGGGACAGGGTGGCGACTAAGTCTGATTCATCTCTGGGTCCCCTACACCCCACACAGGCCTGGCGAGGGGCAAACACTCAAGAAATGTTCATGAATTAATAGAAACACCTGAAGTTATTCTTCCCTTAAACTGTTTTAGTTGGACTCTTATTAGCAGACTAAGCACAGTCTGGGTCACCGCCAAGAAGTAGAAAGACCGAAGAAAAAGAAAAGAAGCATGACCAATGTGATCCAAGCAATGGAAAATAGGTTTTAAGAGTGAGGTAAAAGAAACCAAGGCTGCTTAGCCTGGAGAAGAGAAGATGAGGCCTAACTCGATTCTGGCTTTAAGTACACAAAAGGATTCCCGAGAAAATCTTGATCTCATCCTCCCTTTATAATCAGAAGGAACTTTTCCATATTCATGGAAAATGGAACAAGAAGAAATGGCTTAAGTTACGGCCAGAGCGGTTTAAGCTGGAGAGAAAGAAGAACCAAATTAGGCACCACTTTCCAGAGATACCGTTACTGTGCTTTTTGGCTAGTGACTTGGAGGCGTCTTGCTTAGTACTTTTGTTGAAGGCTGTGCAAAAGGGAATGAATACGCTGCTCTGTTCCTGTTTACTGTGGAGAGAGGTGGGTGAAAACACAAGTCAGGTAAGATTTTCTAACAAGCCACCGACTTTGACCCTTTTCCTACAGGCACTTTCTGTCATGTCATGCTTTGCAACCCTGTGATGGAACAATCTAGTATTTCAAAGTTTCCTGATGGGGCAATGGGAAGAAAGAGAAGGTAACAATGTCAGAGTAAGACAGTAGGGAAAATGGCCCTAATAAATATACTTTCTATAAAATCAACACCTAAGTGGACATTAATAATAATTGCTACTATTATTCCCATTAAAGCTAACATTCATTGAGCACCTACTATGTGCCAGGCTCTGCACTAAGTGTTTAACATAAGTTATCTCAATCCTGATGACAACCCCACAAGGTAGGTAATATTTCTATCCCAATTTTACAAATGAAGAAACTGAGACCCAGAAGGTTAAATAACTTGCCCAAGTCACACAGCTAGCAAGCGACAGAGGCAGAACTCAAACCCAGGCAGCCCAACTCTAGAGTCTACACACCTAACTACCGTCTCCCTACAAGAAGGACGAGAGGCTGGACTCCAAAGGCTAGTCTCCCTGAATCCAGGTTCACTTTCTCAGCTGCTTCCCTCTACTGCCCCCAGCCAGGAAGAGCAGAGCAACACATGACACTAGCGAGAAAAGAGATCTCAAAGCGAGCTCAAACAGCCCCTATACTATAGAGAAAGAAGCTGAGACTGAGGACTCACAGATGATAAGGAGCAGAACCAGGACTTGAATGCCAGCCTCTTGACTTCAAGCGTCGTCCTCTTTCCTCCACTATAGATTCTTGTTGAATTTGAGGGTGAGAAAACGAAGCAACAGAATGTGCCAATGGGTTCCCTCCCCAGACACTTTTGTACTGAACTGCTCATCTCACCTTAGAACCTATGCCTGAAAACAAGAGTGCCAGCAGCCTCTGTAATCTGATCCTAAGGTTCTCCTAGCTAAGGATGGCAATACACTGATTTATGGTAATATAAGAACTGTCAAAAACTCACATATTAAACGACTCAAGCAGACCTAGACCAGGCAGCTTCCACACTAGGTCAGTGGTTCTCAGTTGAAGCCTGAATTGGACTATTCCAACAGCCCCCTCATCGATGCCCCCATTCTGGGATTTTCTTTGCTCCAGACTAGCCTCCATTCTGCAGCCAGAGTCCACAGAGCCCTAGTCATGGCATTCAGAGCCTCGCAGCATAATGGAAAGAACATGGGTCTTTGAATCCAACACTTGGTTTGGACCGAGCTCTGCCACTTACCTGACCTTGGGCAAGTCACTTTAATCTTTCTGACGTCTCGTTTCTTCATCTTTAAATTGGGGATAGATATCCCCATATTAAAGGATTGTGAGGATTAAATAAATTATAGTGTGTAAAGCATCTAACATATTGTAAGCCACAGAGCAGAGCAGACACTCAATAAATGTTAATGTTCTTCTCCCCACACCCACGTTTTGGCCACAATCCATCATTTCAGCTTATTTCCTCTCCTCGCCAACTCCATTCCTCTCCCCAATACACACGTGCATGCACACACACACACCCCCTATTCATTTCCACCTCTAGACCACTGCTCAAGCTGCTCCTTCTCACAGGAATCAACTTCCTCCAAGGCATAAATTTTCCACCTTCAGGAACTCTTCTCTGGACCCCCTGTGGTCATACTAGGATTGATTTCTCCTTTTCCCAAGCTCCCACTTTGTTTACATTCCTCACTACATTTACCATAGTCAGTCTGATTTTAGTTATTTATGTACTTATCTGTCTTCCGAACTACACTGAAGGGAGAAGGCTCTGAGAAGACAATTACTTACAGGAGGGCAGGAAATGTGTTTTCCTCTCTGTGTACTTCTCAATACCAAGGTTTTGTACACAGCAAGAGCTCAATAGGTGTTTATTGAACTGGATCTTGCCACCCTTGACTGGTAATCTTTACAGAAAGATCGTGGACTCAATTTATTCTAAAACTCTCGGGGCCGGCCTGGTGGCGCAGCAGTTAACTGTGCACATTCCACTTCGGTGGCCCAGGGTTCACTGGTTCGGATCCCAGGTGCAGACATGGCACCTCTTGGCAAGCCATGCTGTGGTAGGCATCCCACATATAAAGTAGAGGAACAGGGGCACGGATGTTAGCTCAGGGCCAGTCTTCCTCACCTCAGTAAAAAAAAAAAAGAGGCGGATTGGCAGCAGATGTTAGCTCAGGGCTAATCATCCTCAAAAAAAAAAAAAAAGAGCCAAATAGTAAGCGGTCAATAAATGTTAGATATTATATTAACAATGAAGTACACTGGAGAAAAATAAAGAGTCAGGACTTTGCACTTCTAGTACTATCTCCACCACTGACTGACTGCTTGTGTAATCTTGATCAAGTCCTTTCCCTTCTCTGGGCCTTTCCCCATGTGTAAAATTAAAGAGAGAGAACCAGATGGTTCCCAAACTCCTTCTACCTTTAACAATGTGTATTTTTCTCTGATCAACAAAGAGCCTTCTGTTCCATATACTGAAGCTGTTGGCAAGGAAAAATGTGCACTTGTAGCTGCTGGTTTTCCAGATGGAAGGCGCCAAGGCCAAGGCCAAGGGCAGGACAACTGATCAGTAAACCACCTGTGTGCTTTCCCCTGCGTGAACTACATCACACTGAGCGCAGGTCCCTGAACAGAGCACCACTTTCCTTCCAACAAAACTCACAGCAAAGGCAAGACAAGAGCCTGAAAACGATAGCAGCAGTGAAGAATCCTGCCTTGCGCAGAATTCCTGTACTTTTGTGCCTTGCATGCCTGTAATTAGGCATCATTAATCTAAACTAGGGCTCTCCTTAGACACAAGGAGAAGGAAAAACACAAAGGCCCACTCTGAACCTGAAAGCTCATAAAACAAAGACCAAAGCGAATAAACAAAAAATGTCACTGACTCATTCAACCACAAACACTGCAGTGGCCTACTATGTGCCAGGCAGAGGAAGGATGAAACAGATCTGGTCCCTTGCCACCAATGTACTCAGAGTATATATGGGGTGACATACCCCAAGGCAGATTGTGATCAGTGCTATATTTGAAGTGTAGCCTCTGCTAGAGAAGATGGGGGCGGTGGGCAACTAACCCAGTAGGGTGATCAGAGAAGCTTCACTGATGAGGTCACGTGAGACATGGGACTTGAAAGATGAGAAGGAGGATGGAACTCCAGGAAGAGGGAACACAAGCAAAGGAACATGCAAGGAGTGTTTGAGGAATGAAAACTAGATTATTTTGACTGGGGCACAGGGTGCAGATGTGTGAGAACAAAGGGAAACAGAGCAGAAGACAGGTTTGGGAACAGATTATGGAGGGACTTGTCTATGAGACTGAGGAGTCCTAACTCTATATAGTGGACGACAAAGCCCACCAAGGTTTCTGAGCAGAGATATAACATGACAAGAATGTTGTCTCAGGAAGGTCACATAGGTACCTATAAAGAAGATGCAAAAGGAACCAAGTTACTAGATTACTATGGGAACACATTACAGGAGACACATGTGCCCCCTAAGCATGTGCTGGAATCCAGCTGCTCCTATTCACAAGCTTCTCTCTCCCATGGCTCAGCTTCATGCAACTGGGGTTTAAGAGGCGCTCATTTGCCAGGCCCTCTAACCATCAAAATCTGCTGGAGAACTAGAGTAACAGGCCTCCCAGACAAAGTCAAGAACCCAATTAGCCCTGTGGATCACAGAAAGAGAAGAGCCGAGGTGGGAGAAGTTGTGGGTGGGGGGCATCAAAGTCTCCAGCTGGCCCAACTCATATAAAAACCCAACCCTGGGTCTCCTCTTTACATCTCTTCCAGCCTAGCCTCTTTAGAGGGGCTGAAGCAAAGGGTGATGGGGCTGAAAGCATCTGGCTGTTGGCTGAAGATCCAGTGAGACGATACACATCAACTGCCCAGCACGGCGCCTGGCACATGGACAATGGTCAATAAGCATTTGTTCCCTTCCCATCCTGCAAGGTCAGTTCCACCTACAAATCCCACTGAAGTGTCAGGCCCTGGGTCACCTCAACTCCCCTCCCCCAGCGCCTCTCTAGGGTACCCCAGTCCAAAATGATCTAGTTCCTAGGAATCACAGCTACCAAGCATTCAGCACCCATTTTGTGACAGGTGCCATACCAGGTGACACATGTAGATCCTATTCAACCTTCACAAGGACCCTACTATGCCATCTTATAGGAGAAACTAAAGCTCTGAGAGGGGAAATGACTTGGCCGGAGGACACACAGTTAGGAAGTGGCAGAAGGGAGGCTCGAACCCAGGCCTGCCTGCCCCGAAGCCAAGCACTTCCAGCACCTCATTCCTGTCACCCGCCGAGCCTCGGATCTGCTACTGGCCATCTGACAGGTGGCCTGGAAACTCCCCCCGCCAGAGACTGCGCCTGACACAGACTTCTCCTCACTGGATAGCCACACACGCACGTCAGGAGCTTTTAAATGAAATCAGTAAACTTTAAAACAATGTAGTACACAGATACTATAAATTCCTCACGTGAAAAACTATTCACGATGTTGGACTGCCTGAGCCGTGAGCCCAGCCACACAGACTGCTAGGGACTGAGTCCCAAACTGGCCACAGGCTGAGCTCCGACCTCTGACACCTGTCCCGACAGACGCCCGACCCCAGGCACGGGCTGAGCCTCGACGGGGCACACATGCTGCGCCCTGAGCTCGTCACAGACAGAGCCCAGAGGAGAGCCTTAAAGGAGTATCCCCTTGGGCTGTCCCCCCAGGACAGAATCAAGTCGTGACCTCGGGCTGTTCTGAAGGCCGTGACCGCCCCGTCCCGAGCACACCGACTCATTCAGACCCCCGCCCCATTTTGCTCGGAGGGATACCTCGCCGTCCCGCCTTGACCGCAGCTGACTCTTCGCGGGACCGGCCGCGCGCACCCCCACCCGCAGATCGCTCCGCCGAGAACGCGGAAGAGGCGGTACTAGACCCGGGGGGCGGGCCCGACTGAAGAGGGGCGTGAGGGGGCGGAGTTGCGCCTGCGCCCTGACGGCTACGCCCAGGGAGAGGGTGGGGCGAGCTCAGTAAACTACGCAGGCGTGATAGGGAGGGGCGGGGAGATCGCTGGGAGCGGGTGGGGCTTAGCTCCTTTCGATGCTGTCTTTCCAGAGAGGTCTGCAAGCGCTAGAAGGGAGGAGGCCCAGCAGCGGCAGGTGTAATTAACATTTACTGAGAGCTTCTGCATGCCAGAAAGGAATTTTTAAATGCCTTTTACATATGTGGAAATGCTGCCAGAGATTTCTAAAACACGAGCTAATTCTGTAAAATTTCTTAAAAGGTTTGGGTGCCTATGATTTCACCATGAGAGTTTCTCCTTGAGTAAAACATTACCCCCAGTAGTTCAAAATAAAAAACTTAAAAGTTCATTTCTTGGAGAAAACTAACTGCAAATAATTAGTATTTCAGCCCTGCCCCATCCCTCCTCTAGGCTGCAAGTGTGCTGAGGGAATGAGAGCGCTGACTTGAGTTTAATTCAGGTCCTCACTCAGAATGTGTTTCCTACGCTGTGAAATGGAAGTAAATATCCCTTCCCCGCCTGTCTCAGGGTTTTTGTGAGGGTTTGGTGGACAATGCTAGTTAAAGGGCCTCCTGGACTTCCTTCCCATCATCACCTGAGAAGTGTTTGTCGACCTGCCCCTTCTGGGTTCAGTCTTCTTATCTGTTTGATGGAGGGAAGTCTGGAACATTAGGGAACATTCAGGGCTTTGCTAGATTTCTCAGTCTGGGTGAAACCTGGAGAGGGGGGCCTTCTTCTAAGTTTCCAGAATCCCTCAGTCCAACCTGAAGGCCCCTGTATAGCCTGACCTCTCCCACCATCACCTTCCAGGCTCACCCAAGCTTCATGTCCTCAGAGGCCATGCTGGTCTGTTCCCCTTTCTGTTCCCTAAATGTCTCAGTAGCCAGCTGGCCCTGAGTCACTCAGGCCTATGTTCCAATGCAGGTTCTCAAAATTCTTATGTCTCCCACATGGCAACCAAGTTCAGTTAACACCAGAGATGAGGGCTCTGGGGGCCTCAGAGGAGGAAGGGCTCAGGCAGGCCTCCCCCAAGCCAGGTAGGGCTCCACACAGCTCCTGGGAGCAGGGTTGGGAGTGGGAGCAGGAAACTTTAAAGAAACTGCAGTGTTCATGAGGGCCAAGTGGGGAGGGCAACCTTGACTCAACAGGTGGATGCTCTGCCCCAAGGTGGGAGAGTGGTTCGCTTCCTTGTTACCTGCTCCAAATTTTTTTTTTTTTGAGGAAGATTAGCCCTGAGCTAACATCTGCTGCCAATCCTCCTCTTTTTGCTGAGGAAGACTGGCCCTGAGCTAACATCCATGCCTGTTTTCTTCTACTTTATATGTGGGACTCCTGCCACAGCATGGCTTGACAAGCGGTGTGTAGGTCCACACCTGGGATCCAAAACTGAGAACCTGGGCCTGAAGCAGAATGTGCGAACTTAACCACTGCACCACCAGGCTGGTCCCCCCTCTCCAAATATTTTTATGGATCCTGATCCAACAAGAAAACAAAGCCTTCCGCAGCCTGGCTGCCCATTCTGTCCTTCTACCCCCAATACATTGCTTCTCCCAGGACCTTCTGCTCTCCTGCCAAGTTCTGACCTACAAAGGACTCTTTTCTCTGTGTCGCTGAGACCCCAGCTCTCCCTTCTGTCTCCTCCTTTCTCTTTACCTCTGTCTAGTCTTCTCTAAGCATCCCTCTTGGAATTTCTCCAAGCCGTTTTGTGACGACTTCCTGATGTATTCAGACATTCCTTTGTAAGGCACAGGCCTTGGCCACACAGTTCGGAGAGAAACTTATCCTCACTGCCATAGTGTATTTCACAACTACCGCCCAGAGCCTGAACTTTCTAAGAGGCTGAGCTGTCCAGTAATTGAAGAGGTAGTGAGTGACCTGTCATAGGAGGTATGCAAGCAGAGCCACCTTTTGGAATGCTGGACTGGGGCCTCCTCTGGTGAGCGAGAAGAAGAGGTAGCAGAGTGGAGGGCCTTGTAGATCCTAGAGCAGTGACAGGAGGGATACTGGGAGCCAGAAAGGGAGTCAGAGACAAACTTGATTCAATAAGTTATTATATGTCAAGCATTTAGCACTATTATATGTGTGTACCTGACACACAGTGAGTATTAGCAATTATTGTTACCATTGTGAATGATCCACAGACCGTGAGTAATGAAGAAGTTCAGAGATCAATCAGTTCCTCACTCCCACACCTGGTCATGAACTAGATGGGGAAATTGAGGTCTAGAGGGGAAAGGGGCCTGCCCTAGCACCTGGGGAGCTGGGCTGGGACTGAAACTCAGGCCTCTGCCTCCCAGGAGGGCACAAAGCCAGGCTGTCTCCTTCTTAGGTAGAGGAGAGAGCTCTAGGTGGGCCTTTGGTGACTCTTAAGAACCAAGCTGTTTTTCAGCTCTTGTCTGGGTACTTGACGCCAAGGGGCAGTGGAATGACAGCAAGACCTGAGCTAGGAGACTCAGGTATCTTCTGGGAATAAGCTCAGGAGTCCGCTGCATGTCCTGCCACCCCCACTTTGAGCTCTAGCCAACACCCAACAAACAGCCTTCTCTTGAGAAGGGCTTCCTCTGCTGTGATCAGGATTAAGACTGTTTCTGCTCTCTCCCTTAACCCATTAGCTCCACTAAACCACCCAGATTAAGGGGGTGGGGTAGGAATAGCCAGTGCCAGGTGACCTGAGCTGAAACAAGGAGACTCTCCCAAGAGACTGAGTTCCCTGAAGGCAAGGGCCAGCACCCCCTACTCTGGGAGTCCTAGCCCAGCCCAGGAATTCTGGGTCCAGAATTCCCAGAGCCCTGGGAAAACCTGGGTGTCTCTACCCTGGAGAGCTCGGCCAGACATGACCACACCGATCAACCCTCCACATGGCCCAGGATCTCAGGACAAAAAGCCCTCCCTGCTCCATTTGGCCCAGTTTCTTCCACAGCCTGCCCAGGAACCATGTGGCACTCAGACCACAGCTTCCCACCAGTGCCACTTTAGTTTGCCTCCTTTATTTTACCAAAAATAACAACAATAAAGTCTTCCCTCTGTTTCGCAAAAATAGATTTACCCCCTCCCCCCACCCCTCTCTGCAATCAGCCATTGGCCACAGCCTAGAATCCATCTCCCAATCCAGTCCTCCCTGGGGGAATGTCTGACCCACCCCCTCATTCCAGAGTCTCTGGCAAAGCTGCTGGGTCAGTGTGTTTCCCTTGGGAACTTCTCCGGAGGCAGCAGTCCCAGGTGCAGCTGGCTGGCCCCGGGAGCCCCATCTGCTTCCCTAGAGATCAGGCAGCTGCTGGGCCATGGAGAGGGGCATGATTTTGGAGGCTTGGCTCAGCAGACAACCTCAGCAGACCTGAGGGGTGGTAGGGCGCTCTGGCATCAGGCTAGACATCCTTGCTCAAAGCAGGAACAGCTGTGTCCTGGAGAGGGCCTGTCAAACCCTCTTTCCATGTGCATCTCATCTCCCTTTGCAGCCATCCACAGGCCCTGGGTGGGAGTAACTCCAGCTCCACAAAAGCCTTGCTGTGAGGCCTTGGACAGTTTCTCCCTGCCCTCCTCCTGGCCTCAGTTTCCTCCTTTGTACGTGGATGATTCTGTGAGACTGGATGATGCTCAGGTCCTTTCTGGCTCTCCATCCTGGCCTCCCAGCGTGGAGGCTCTGGCTGTCCCTGCCTCAGTTTCCCCACCCCTGGGTCTGGGCTCAGGGCTGGGCATGGGGTGCTGAGTAATGGAGTGCTGAATGAACATCCCAATTTCTCTGTGGGCAGCTACGCTCTGAGATCCAACCAGCTGGAATGTCTCAAGAATGGTTGGGAAGGAGGCAGGTACTTGCAGGCTGGAGGTTCTCCAAGCCCGGCAGAGTCTACTCACTAGCTACATGGTCCTCAATGTCCCAGGATGGGAGACAAGTCTCCAGAGTCTCCCAATTCAAGTTCCACTAGCTCCTCGGGTTGGAGCTATCTTGTACTGGGCTTCAGATCCTGAGAGCCAAGTCGATAGATTCTAGGAGCTAGACTGGAGCGTGTGATTCCCAATTTAAGGACCAGGAGACCTTCGTAAACATGAGGGATCACCCCCCTCCTCCAGGAAGCTGCCTCCAATCAGGCCTTCCTAGAGGCAGAGGGATGAGTGAAATGACAGCTGATGGGCATTTCTGGCTGAGCGAATCAGAACCTGTGTGCAAATCAGAACCTGTATCTGTGGTGGGCCAGGGGTTTAGGTACCCAAGGCAAGGCTCCCCTTCCTGCTTGCCCCCAGCTCCTCAGAACTTATGCTTGTGGAAGACGGTAGCCTGGAAGGTTCAAACATAGAGCTACGTCTACAGCGACATTTTGTGCACTTACACACATGGTCAGACACACTGAGTGGGAACACTGACCTGTCATCATCCTACAGTGGTCATGGTCTGATGGTCCTAAACCCTACTCACTCTCTTCCTTCTTTCCTTCCATCCATTTACATAACATTTATGGAGGGCCTACTATGTGCCAGGGAGGTCTAAGGCAGCTAGCTCTCACAAACACACCCCGTAGTCAACATCACTTTCATACACACACAAACACACACAGACACACAGTCATCTGTGCTTACACACAGGCTGATCACTCTCTTGTACCTTTCTTGCCATCAACTCAGCCACATCCACATTTCCCAAATATGCTTGGGAACTACCATGGAAGGGTCAAGCGTCAGAGCAGAGACCCTCTAGCCCACCCTGCCCCTAGACTTCATGCCAGAGGGTTAGCTCCTCCTTCCCTTCTGCTTGCCCACTTTTAAGCTATCCCCTTCACCATTCACAAGCAGTCAGGGGGACATGTGGGCGGACTTCTGAGGACCAGAAGTCCAGGGGCTTTGGGTGTGTGGAGGGGTCCCAGGGCCTGCAGATTTCTCTGTCACCAGACTCCTGAGGGTCCCTTCCCCTAGCCACTCTGTGTTCAGATGATCCATCTGACGAGCAACAACATTCAGGCCTGGGCTCAGTGACAGATCCGCTCTGTCATCTCCCTCTGCAGAGACACAAGGTGGGAAACAGTCAGTCAGAGCTCACCCTGCCAGGTAGCCCCTTCCCAAACCCCAGGGCCTGGTTGGTCTTCTGCCTGAGCCTGGCCCCCTCCCCAACTCCAGGCTGCAGATCTGGGGTTGTAAGCTGACACTTGAATGAATTCTCTATTAAAGTACAGAATCCATGGTTAAAAGAGTTGCCTTCCCCTAATTTATCCACTTGAGTACTGGATTTTCTTAAAGCAGGTAGCCTCTGGATCTGAAAACTCACAGAGGCTAGCCCTGGGCGGGGAGGAGAGAGGGGGCTTGGCCTCACCAGTGGCTCCAGCTCCCTCTGGTCCACCAGGCTGAACTCGCGGATGAAGTAGTAGAAGTGCTTGTAGCAGGTGTTGACGTGCGCCTCGGCCCCCATGCTGAGGATGCTGTCGAAGTGGTGGATGTAGACGTGGACAAAGACGCGGAAGAGGCGGGTGAGGATCTTGGTGCAGACCTGCTGGAAGTTCCTGGGGAAGGGAACTCCTAGGGGCAGAGATGGGCAGAAGTTGGGGATCAGCATCTGGTGATGAAACTCAGCCCAGCCCTGCCCTCCCCCACATAGGCAGCCTTAGCCCAGGATGGCCTCTTCCCTAGCACACTTCCCTGTGGAGACAGGGAGAGAGAAAGAGAAGGTGGTGGCTTTCTCCCATCCTTCCCTTTTTAAGGAAGCACACATCTGATTGTGCCTCTCTCTTGCTGAAATACAAATCATCTTCCACATTTTCCCGTTTCCCTGAGCAGGACTCTGCAACCTTGTTGGGGTCACTGACCAACCATTCTTAGACTATTATGAAAATTATGCCCAAATTCTCCCCAGAGATATGTGCATCTGCAGATGCTCTCAAATGATGTCCTTGGGTACAATTCCAAGGGGAGTTCATCAACATCTGGGGTCCTTTTTTTTTCTTTTTTTGTTGGTGAGGAAGATCTGCTCTGAGCTAACATCCACTGCCAATCCTCCTCTATTTTTTTTTTCCCTTGAGGAATATTAGCCCTGAGCTAACATCTCTGCCAGTCTTCCTCTACTTTGCATCTGGGATGCCTCCACAACACGGCTGATGAGTGGAGTAAGTCTGTGCCTGGGAACCGAACCAGTGAACCCAGGCTGCCAAAGCAGAGTGTGCAGAACCTTAACTACTTGGCCATGTGGCTGGCCCCTGGGGTCCATTTTTAAAAACACGGGCCTTCAGGATTAAGTCCTAACTTTGCAGCACAGCACCTGCACAAGGCCTTTCATGATCTGATCCTGACCTCCCTCTCTGGCCCTACCTGGCTCTTTCCTCTTCACAACATTCACACAGCAGGCCCCAGATCCCCAATCCCGAGAATTACTGAATCTTCAAGAACTAGTTCAGCATCTCTCATTCCTTCAAATATTCAATCACACTCACAAAGAACCTTCCATCTAGGAGCTGGGCCCTGTGCTGGGCCCGCTGCACCTCTTGTCTGGGATGGTAGCCATTCTATATATGATAAGATGGAGGTGCATGAAGGTGGGGCCACTTGCCCGAGGCCACCTAACTACTCACTAGTACAGACCGGAGGCACGACTCAAAGCCTCCTGCACTGCACTGCAGCGCCCTTCAGAGATAAATGCCACGGACCCAGCCTGAGAGAAGCTCCAGGACCTATGAAAAAGGCAAATTTCTACACAGCCCCGACACTCAGGGTGGAGCTCTTAGTGGCTACGCCCTCTTCTCTGCTGTAGCAGAGCCATCCCAAGGTTAAGGCACAGGCACCTGGAGTCTCACCGGTCCGGGAGTCAAGGCAAGAAGGGAATAAGAGCCCAGCCATAGCGCCACCCTGGCCCACCCGGCTCCACGGCGCCCTTCTCCTTGCTCACTGCGCTTAGGTGGGGTTGTGCCCTGCCTCCTGTGAACGCTTCCAGGCCCTGCCCAGGTCCTTCAGACTTGCCCTGCCCATCTGGACTTGGGGCCCGGGCCTCAAGAGACCTGAACTGCAATTCTGAATCCCTTCTGATTCACTGCGCTGTCCCTCTCTTGGCCTCAGTTTCCTCCCACGTGAAATGAAAATACCCATTGTTGGGCATGATAGTGCAAGAAATGGCAGGACACCAGCTGGGGAGGGGCCGTGGGTACTCAATTGTGACTCAGTGCCCAGCTTCTCTCAGCATTCAGACTTCTCCCCTCTGGGCTTGACCACCCTGCCCCACCCATCTCTGATTCCAGTAGCCTTAACAAGGATGAACATGAGGCCAGGTGGGGGTGCGGCTGCTGTGATGAACATGGTGTCATGACTGCTCAGCTCCTGGCCAACACCCCCTCTTGTTGCCCTTGGGTGGTGAAGCAGGGCCAGGATGACATCACTCATCTCTCCTCCCTACCAGTACCTGCCCAGGCTGCCCAGCTGAGATAAGAGAAGGCCCCATGGCTTGGGCCTAACAAGGGAAAATTCTGCCCTCAGAGCCCTCTGAGGTGGAGATCCCACCCAGCCCATGCAATCCCCACCCCTTCCCTTTCCTGGGCCAGGAATCAGAGGGAACTCCCAGGAGGCTGCAAGTCAGATCAGCCCAAGCAGGGCAACCTGCTAGGAGCACTTTAAGGCACCTGTTCTGGAAGTTTCTGAGAACCATAGTGGCCTTGCCAGGTGGTCCCTTCAAGTTTCAGACAAGAAGAGCCCCAAACTTGGAGTCAGGCAGTCCTAGCTGGAGATGCCTGATGTTGAGCAGACACTTCACCTCTCTGCGCCTCAGTTTTCTCCTCTACAAAACAGGGATAAAAATCACAACCCCTGCTACAGAACTGCTCTATTAAACTCCCTGGCCAGGCCTCCCCCGCCTGCAGGTGGCACTCACCAATGCGCGTGGGAAAGACATCCTCGTCGTTAATGAGGCCCTCGATCCAGTCCATGAGCAAGGCCATGTAGCGCGGCGCCGAGAGCTTGGCCGGCCGCCGATACTGGCGCTCGTCCTGCCAGCGGTACTCGTAGCGGGGCCCGCCGGCCATGACTGGGCAGCTGGTCTCGCTGCAGCGCTCCGCCATGGTGCCATAGATGAGGTTGATGCGGTTGAAGAAGTCCACCACGTGCACGGCGATCCAGTCGTCAATGTTCTCCCCCGGGGGCAGCCTCACCACACTGCGCAGGTCCAGGCCTGACTTGAGCGATGCCTGAGCTTTCTTATACAGCTCAAAGCGCTGTGTGCCGGGCTCAAAGCGCTTCCGCGGCCGGAATGTCTTGTCCTTGGCGAACACCTGCTTCAGGCACAGCGCCATGGCCAGGCTGGGTCGAGGGCCAAGTGTCCAGGGGCAGGACCTGTGGATGCCCTGCTGGAGCCAAGGGTAGGGGAGCATAGTGGTCAGGTCCTTACCAAAAGGCCTTTGACTTCCCAACACATCATTTCCCTCTCACTTCTGAGCTTTTGGCCAACCTCTGCAGCCTCTGTCCGGGACCTAAATGCTCCTCATCCCCTCGGTCCAGCGCCCCAGCCCTATTTCCAGGCTACCCCAGCTCCCCTTGCCAAGCGCCCACAGCCCTCCCATCTTGTTTTGTTTCCTCTCCACTTTCATCGCATCTTACAGAGGGCTGGGCCTGGGCTCCCAACAGGTGCTCCTCAGACTTGCTGTTGACCAGTAGAGAGGCAGCACAGGCTTCCTGCAGGCCCACCAGGAGGCAACTGCCTGGACATGATGACCTGTGGGGGCCCCACAGGCCAGCTGGTGTAGCGTGGGAGAGCCTGGCTGCATTGTGCTAGGGGCAGGGGATAGGGGGAGGGCCCCGCCTTCGGCTTCCTCTGGGATATCCCGTAGTCCATCCGGCCACCGGCCACCGGGGATTCCCAGGGAGCAGGAGGGACTTTTCTACCAAAAATGTCCTTTCCTTTTATTACCCTGAAAGAGGAAGGACCCCTCATATGGCCAGCTGGGTGGCCTCTGAGTGTGGCCCCAGGCACTGGAGAAGGGGGGAAGGGTGGCGGGTCTAGAAGGATGCCACTTCCTCCAACAGTGGCTGGAGATCCTTCACCCCAAGATAGCCTCCTCCAGCCAGAAACCCAAACCCAAACCCGAACGAGCCACTGGCCCCTGCCCCTGCCCCTGCCATTCAGGAGACATTCTAGAGTACCTACTATGTGCCTGGCACTGGGAGATAGGACAATGCAGTCAGATCCACCCAGCTGGGTGCATCTAGAATTCAGACAAATTTGCTTTGCCTCTTAGAATTGAAGGATCTCAGACTCAGAACAGACTTTGGGGACAGCAATGAGGGCCCCAGGCTTGGAGGCAGGAGTCCTGGGTCCTAGTCCCAGCTCTACCATGGCTGGGTGACCCCTGTAGTAGGCATGGATTTGATCCAGGTAACTTCCTGGGTCACTCTGATACAGGCCAGGTTTCTGGGACTCCTGCGGCAGTCAGCTCACATCTCATCTCCCCGGGGAGTGTGTGAGCGCTTGGGAAATGCAGACCTAGGTGCCTGCTCAGACTGGAATTTAGCCACAAACTGAGCACTGACCCTGGCTCCAGACTGTGCACTGAGCTCTGGCTCTAGGCTGAACTCTGACCTGGCCCTGACCCCGGTCACTGTGAGTCCTGGACTCCAGCCCTAGGCTGAGGCTTGAATACAGCCACGAAGCCTGGCCTTGACCTCAGAGCTGACACTGGAGCCTCTTCCTTTCTCACATTGCTAGTAATGCTGGGACAGGACTGGGGACGGGAGGATGGGACAGGGTGACAACGGGGTGTAACCAAAGGCACAGCACACATGGGTGGCTGGGAGGTGTCACATCAGGCAACAAGTCAAGGTAGTGGAAGAGAAGTTTCGAAGGAGGTTCTTCCCCGTACCCACAACAGGCAGGCCAGGAGGGGACAGTGAAGTAAAATGAGAGGAGTTTGGCGGGTAGGGGCAGGTCTCCCGGCAGAATCTTGTCTTCTTGAAAAAAACCCCAAAGATGTGGCAGGTCATCTTATCCATCCCCTGCCCCTTGACTTCTCACCCAAAGAAGTCCCCAGAGTGGGACCCGAGCTTCCTGACCCAAGAGAAGATGTGTCTTCAGGCTTCACTCGCCACCTGCGTTCTAAACTCTGCTTGGGCAGGTGCTTCCAAAATCATTCACACTGCCATTAGGTGGGGCTCCTGGCTCTCCACCTCCGCACAGTCCCCTTTACGGACAGTTACCAACAAGCCCCCCCCGCCTCCCGGCATTCAACACTGCACCCCACCTTTCTGCCCCACTGCCCTACACCCACCACCCTGGGCTTCCTCCTGATGCCTGAACACACCCTCATCCTCCTACCTCTGTGTGTTTTCATACACTGGTCCCTTTGCCTGACTACACATGGTCAGGTTGAATGTTACTTACCCCCACAGCCCCCTCTTCTGAACCCAGAGCACTTTCTCCTTGGATGGAGGCTGCTCTTCGGTCACTGCTGTCCTCACCCACCTCACCCCACAGCCTAGGTCAGGGCCTGGCACATAGTTGATGCTCAGGCTTTAAAAGCTTAGAATCAAGAATCTCAGGGTTGAAATAGTTCTGAGACCAACTGGTCCAACCCACTTCTTGTACAGATGGAGAAACTGAGGCCCAGAAAGGGGACTTGAGGCGCCTGTGTTCACACAGCAAGTTACAGGCAGGGGATCTCCAAAGGCAGAACTGGGAAGTGGGATAACCATGACCATGAGCAAAGGGCCATTTTCCTGCACTGGCTGGTCGCTGGTCTGGTAGAGATGAGGGGACAGGAGGGGAGTGGAGGCAGAGGGGAAGCATCTTCTCACCAACTAGACCAACCTGATTTCTGCTCTCCCAGCATGCTGAGCCTCCCCCACACCCTCACAGCAAGTTGGATGTCCTGACCAGTGACCCAGAGTCCCACCTTCCTGCGGCAGAATTTCAAGGCCTCGGTCTTTCCCCAGGAAAATGTAAGCTTGGGGGCGGGAGGATCCATAGGTGCCCTTCTATCCATGGTCCTTGTCTCTTCACTTCCCACTCCAAAGCCCCTACTGAGTTTCTGTCCCTCACAAAGCCTCTGTCCCCTCCCTGAACCATGGCCATTCCCCCTCCTAGTCTCCGTTTTCTAACTCTGGATGTCCTTTTACTCCTAAAGTAGCCAGTGATGGCTCATATCCTGGGTGGACTTCTGGCTTCCCAAATGAAGACCAGAGTGGCCCTGCCTCTTTCTGCCACTTAGCCCCCCGCCAGGGCCACACCTGCCACTCTCCAGGCCTGGCCCAGGATCTTGGCCAGGGGATGGCCCCAGTTTGAACTCAGAATCCAGCCTAGGGCGGTGCCATGTCGGGGCGCCCTGCAGGGGAGAGATCCAAGAGGAAAGTATAGGCAGAAACTCCATGCTCTTCCTCGCAGCGCTCACCCACGCCCACCCCTCGGCCTCCTGCTGGACCCCCTGACTCCCACCACTCTCCCTCGCCCAGCTGCCAGGGGAGAAGTTCGTAGGACCCAGAGGAGCAGGCCTGACATTTCCGCTCCTGAAGACACGCCCCCTTCAAACACCGCCACCCCCTCAACCCCGACTTTCGCAGCTTTTAGTTTCGGACCCCGGACCGAAGACTGTGGCCAGCCTGCCTTCGGGCGGAGGTCGCCTCCGGACAGTGCCACTCCAGGGACAGCCGCAGAAATGAAAGTGGGAGCAAGGCTGGGCCGCGTGCGCGGCGGGGGCGCTGGGGCGCGGGCACTCACTCACGGGGTCCTCGTCTGGCTGCCGGGTCACATCCCCAGCGCCCTGGGTCGCCTTGTTCTGCCGGTCCTCCCACCCTGCCGGTTCTCTCGCCTGTCCGCCTGTCCGCCGGCCTGCCCCGCCGGGCCGCTGTCGCCCTCCCGCCCCCAAGGCGACGCCGGCTCCGCCCTGTCCCTCCCGGGCCCCGCCACGCCGCGGCCCAGGGGCGGGGAAGAGGCGGGGAAAGGGGACCCTCCTCCCCCCAATGCACAGACACACTCTCTGTCGCCTTTCCGCAAAGTCGTGCTCCCGGCTTCCCTAGCTGGCACTCTCAGTTATCTCAGACTTACCCAGGAAGCAGCCTCAGCTTTCCCGACTGTAAAATGGGGCCAAGCTCAGCTTCCGTCTGGAGCAGAAACAAAAGAGCTGCTAGATAATGGTGGTTTCCTTGCCCTCCTAGAATCAAATGTGTCTCACTTGTCCCTGAGCTCAATAAGGGATCAGGTCTGCCCTATACAATTTCATGCCCTCAGCTCCTGGCAGAGTGCCTGGCAGTAGCAGGCACTTAATGCCCACTTGCTGAATGAATGAATGAATGAATGAATGCCTTGGGACTCATGAGTGAGTCCCTCACCCCAGCACGTGGCAGTGAGGAGTGCTCACATCACAGACGTTCCCCTCCCTCAGCGGAAGTCACCCCCTTTCCCATTGCCGGACCTTTGTTGCAGCTGCTCCCACTGTGGGCTGTCTTCTCCCCCTCCTTCCTACCAACCAAATCCAAACTATTCAAGACCTGATCCGCTCTCCCTCCTTGTCTGCCTGGGTTCCTCCCCTGAGGGCAGACAGATATCCCGCACCAGCTCAGTGCGCACTGTGGGCCCCAGGCCCAGGGTCCAGTTGGCTGGCTCTGTCCTGGGATGGGAGGGAAGGTTGGAGGCCTTCTGGGGGTGGGAGGACCAAGGCAGACAGATGGCTGCAGAAGTCACTCTGGAGGGGTGTGGGAGGTAGCGGAGACCTGGAGGTGGGCATTTACAGTGGCATAGATGCCTCACTGAGCTCCCCTTGTTTCTGGATCTTCTGGTTGTTCAATGGCGTGAGAACACACTGGATCCTTAAGAATCCCAGCTCAGAGAACTGAGGATTCATTCTTTTGTTGAGCATCTATTTTTGCCCCAGTCTAAAGCTCTCTCTTTTTTGGCTGTCTGAGTCTTAACACTGCCCCAAGTCCCCTATAAACAAACATATGCGTGCTCTAGTGCATGCAGAAGGAATTCAAATCTAGTCCTTCATTTGTTTGATATCCTAATCAATAGCCTTTATTGAGCATGACTCTGTGCACTGAGAGCAGGGGATCAGCTGATGAAGCTGTCCCAGCCCCTTACCTCAGCCGACAACAGGTCAGCAGCGGGGGACAACACACAGAGATAACACAAGGTCAGAGCTCAGTTTTCCAGAAGTGAGAACATGGCTAGAGACTGCTAATGAGCTCTTTGTAAGAGTGGGGTTATCTACAGGAAACATGTGGAACACCCAAACCGGGCACTTTGAGGAGAGTTTAAGGCAGGCACTATTTAGAGCTGCAGCGAGGGTGTATGGAAACTGCACAAAGGGCAAGCAAGAGCAGCCCTTCGCTGTCTACCCCAGGCTGAAGGAGTGCTGAGAGGGAGGGGTAAAGTGGGAGTGAGGAGGAGGGGGCTGCTGATGGGAGCTGTGGCCCGAGGTCGAGGGGCATACCCAGCCCACAGCGATCATGCTGCGAAGGACTGGGGGTGAAAAGGGGCCTCACTTCTCTCCCTCCCTCCCATCTCTGGCCAGGTTTCCCCACTGGCCCAATCCAACCCTTGAAGCCAAGGACGAGGGAGTCTGTTGACGCAGTGCCTAGAGGTCGGCCTCCTGGGCCTAGAGCTAGGGGGAGAAGGGTACATCCGGGGGCAACAGAAGATACTTGGCGCATGGGCTCAGGGACTTAACTTTGCAAAGGAAATAGAAACTGCTTGTGCTTTCCTTATCATTCAGTTCTAAATATTTCATAATTTCGTTGTCATTTCCTCTTTAACCCATGGATGATTTAGAATTGTGTTTTTTAGTTTCTTGGACTGTGGGAGGCTTATGTTTTTCTTTTTCACTTCTAATTATGTTGCGTTGTGGTTGGAGATCATGGTCTGTAAGATTCTTTGGAATGTGATGTGACTCCCTCTGTGGCTTTGTCCATGGTCATTTGCTGTATGTCTGAGCTGGGTTTTAGAGGATGGGCAGGAGTTTGCCTGGTGAAGAGTGAAAAGCACAGAATCTTATGTTGTAGGAAATACAGATGATCTGTTTTGAAGGAACTTCAGGAGTTCCCAGATCAGCCACAGAGCCCCTGGGTGTCAGTAAAAGTGGACAGGCTGGCAGGTGGGATGGCAGGCAGGTGGAAGGGTTGGGAGAAGCCAGAGACAGCCCAGATCTTGCAAGCACCTGCACCCCCTTACTGCGGCTCTCATTCTGGGCTAGAGAGGCCTTGTTCCTTCAGGAGGCTCTGCTGGGGCTGAGGAGACCCAGGCCTCGGAGAACAAGGTCCTGGCCTTACCATGTATTAACTAACCGTGTGACCTTGGGTTACTCTTGTCCTCTGTGATGACACGCTGTAACCCTGCAGCACTGCACACCCACACAGGACAGGCACTGTTCTCTGCCACTGTGTACTCAATATAAGTGGCTCAAATAAAGCCCTGTTTTGCAAGCTTGGTGGAAGCCATGGAGAATCTAGTTGAGGACATACCCTCTTCCACTGCACAGCGCTGGCACATGACTCTTCCATGGGAGCTCCAAGTGGCAGCAGGGTGGCATCCAGACCTGGGCTCCTGCCCTGCTGTGTGCCTCTGGGAAAGCCTCTGCCCTTCTCTGGGCCTCAACTTCCCCATCTGTACCACAAAAGCATCTTTCAGCCATACCATTCCAAGTGCCTTACCAGGTCCAACTCCGTGTTTCTGCCCCTGTGGGCCTGTACAGCGACTCCACTGATACAGAGCGGCCTCTCCCTGGGGACTCCCCAGGCCCTCCTTTGCCAGGAAAAGCCCCCCAGCCCCACACCGCTCTCAGAATGAGCTACAATATCCCCAGCTCGCCCTACCAGGCACCAGCAGCACCTGTAGCATGTAGGCCCACCTTCTCCTCACTCTTTCCCAAGAAAAAGTTTCCATTCAGCTTCTGCCCCTCCCTGCCCAGAAGGCAGGATCTCCCATCCCGGGTCTTTTATCCTGGCACATGGAGGAAAAAGCGAAGGATACCCTCGTGGCGGTAAGAAGAATTGAGCTTAGACTTCCTTTCGCTTAAAGAAGACAAATTCAAGGGAATGTGGCAGGGGAAGACAAGGTTGAAAAGAATGTACATTAAATTTCTGCACGACCTTGGGCAAGGCCTTTATTCTCTCGGAGCCTATTTCCCCTTCTGTAAAACAGAAACAACGACACTAATATGTGCCCCACAGAAGAGCTGTGAGGATCAAATGTGAGAGCCCTGGTAAACGGCAGAAGGCTCTGGCCCGTCTTTTTGGGGGTGCTGGCTTCAAGCACCCAGAGGCTTTTTTGTAGAAGAGGGATTGCACTATTCCTGTGGTCTTGGAGGGCAGGGGGCAGACACCCAGGACAGTACATGAGGAGAAACTCAGCACATGAGAGCTGTCCAACCACGCAGCCTGGGTGGATGGACCCACTTCTCAGGAGGGAAGTGTGCAAGCAAAAGTGGCAAAGTCCCCTGCAACACGGGCTTCAGAGGGTTTCAATCCCTTTGCAGAGCAGGAGAGCCCTCTTGACCCTGAGAACCTCAGACTCGTTTCTGTGCTCAAAGCTCCTCCTCCCTCCCGGCTCCCGGTCCACCTGGGAGGCTTTGCTCTCACCTATGCAGGTTTCAGGCCTTCCATTTTGGGAAGGAGATCTCAGGAGATTGGTGGAAGTCTGGTGTGCATAAGGGCCTTAGGACGATTTCACAGTCCTCCTGACCTGACCTCCAAAATGGCCTGGCAGGCATTGCTCTCTCCCGCTGGTGCACGCTCTCCAACCACTTCCCAGCTCAGGGTGTCCCAGGAGAGGAGGTGATAGCTGTGTGTGTGCAGGGGGTGCTCACCAGTGTCCAGGCTCAGCCATCCATGGAACCCACCACAAAGCCTGCACAGGAAGTTCTGTCCAACCCTAACCCCTCTTCTGCCACTGTGGTGCCTCAAATTCAGCTTCTGGGGCTGCCTGCCTGGAGCACCACCCTAGTTCAGAGCCCGTCTCCTACAGGAAGCCTCCCTGGTGCTTTCTTCCTTCCTCCACAGCATCCCTTCTCCAAGTGTGTTCGGTAACACCTGCCTTAGAGTCACCAGTGGGGGTTCCTTACAGAGTACCATCTGATTCTGGCCAAGCCTGGAGATCTAACTCTCAGTTGCAGGAAGGACTGGGAATTGAGGAACAAGTGAAATGATATCGGAGGGATGAAATCAGCAAAATCCAGAAAGAGGAAAATTCTGTAGGACAGATTCTCAACAAATAAGTGGCAAGAATACAAAAGAGATGAGGGGACACCTACAAATTAAAAGTGAATTAAGATGGAATACTGCTCAGCAATAAAAACAAACAAACTATTTGATACTTGTAACAACTTGCATGGATTTCAAGGATGTCATGCTGAGTGAAAAAATTCAGTCTTAAAAGGTTACATACTGTATGATTTCATTTATGTAAGTTCTCAGAATGACAAGATTATAATGATGGAGAGCAGATCAGTGGTTGCCAGGAGTTAAGGTTGGGAGGAGGGTGTGACTATAAAGACAGAGAACAAGGGACTTTCTCTGGGTGATGTTTTGTATCCTGATTGTGGTTCCACAAACCTACACATGTGATAAAATTTCATAGAACTATGTACAAAAGGAAAAACTTAAAAATGAGTGCATATAAATCCTGGTGAAACCCAAATAAAGTCTGTGGTTTTAATAGTATTGTACTAATGTCAATTTCCTAGTTTTGATAATTATACTATGGTTATGTAAGATGTTATCTTTGGGGGAAGCTGGGTGAAGGGTACACAGAAATTCTCTGTATTAGTTTTACAACTTCCATGTGAGTCTAAATTATTAAAAAAATAAAAGCGTTTTTTTTTTTTTTTTTTTTTTTGAGGAAGATTAGGCCTGAGCTAACATCGGCTGCCAATCCTCCTTTTTTTGCTGAGGA